AGAGGAATAAAACTAAGCATACAGTACTGAAGTTAGATAAGAGCCCATTTGGGTTTGCCTATGGAAAAAAACATCCTATGTTACCTGTGTTCACTTCTCAGTTTCTCTGAACAAACAAGCAGTGTGCTTGTACTACAGATTTTTTTTTCCCATCGTCAAAATGATTTCCTAGCACTGAGTAAATGCTGACAGAACAGAGATATTACAGCTTCTGGAAGAGTGGGGAAAGTCAGCTTCCTGATGGGAAGCTCAGATTCATAAATGGCTTTCCTAAGTGAACGCTGAGCGCTCTGCGTGCCATCTGATAAATTCAAAGATGAACTGTCCTTCACTGTTGCAGCACTGTTTATTTCCTGCTCTGGAATTGACGTGAGATACTTCATAGCAGTGCTTCACCACAGATTCAGTGATGTTGAGCAATAACCACTCATCTGAAATGCAAAGAAACTGGGTTTTGTTACCCTTTCGATGGGCTGCACCTGTCATGCAGAGGAATCCCAGATTAAGACTATGCCAGTTGTCTAGAGAGTGTCCTTCATCTTCTGCTTTGTTAAACTCTTACTCTTTGAACACTAAAGAGCTTTCTGCAATTGTGGGAGAGCTTCTGGCAGTGCACTCATTCAAAGTGGAAGGTGCCCAAACTGGCCACACTGCAGACAGTTGCCAGGTTATTACAAGTATATTCAAGTTTCTTAGTCTATTGTGTAGCTGGGCACTGCAGTCTTGACTTCTCTTCTGTTTCATGACATTTCTAAGGAAAAATTATTGGTACAGATAGAAGCTGCAAAGGCTTTATGAAACACATTTTTTTCTGATTTCCTAGGTTTGTTTGGGGAAGTGGTTTTCTCTTGGTGCTAGCTTACTTATCAGCATACTATATGAAGGTAAATTCACTTTGAAAGTGGATTGTCTAGGATGGGGGGCTAGAGGAAATGTAGGACAGCTTAAGTTCAGAACACTTCACCAATCTACACAATTGTGTTCCACTTAAATTTTGGGCTTCTAAAGTACCATCCATCCTAATTTTATGGAGCTATCTACATGTGCTATAGAGAGTGCTGTGATGCCAGAACAGGCAGGAAATGCTGGTCTTCTCTGGTGGACTTAAACTTAGATCATGCTCAAGAGATTAATCAGTGCATTTGATTGGGCTTCAACACTAGTTACAGGAGACAGAGCTGTTCTTATTCATAAATATGACACAAGAAAAATAAATACACTCTGATCTGAGTAATAGCTTGTCACTCATGTAAAAAAGGGCAGTCTTTGAATCTGCAGTTGCTGTTTCCCAACAATCTTCTTTAACTTCTGTTCTGTATTCTGATACCACATCCTTCCTATCAAATCATGTGTATTGCAGTGTAGCAGTTGGTTGCTATGGAGAGAATAACATGGAAAAAGAACTGCTGCAAACCCTGTGAGAGAAACAGCCCTGGAAAGTGGGGAGAAAAGTCCCAGTTCCCTCTTTGCAGCTTAGTTTATACTTTTTTTTTTTTTTCCCTTAAAAAATCAAATAAAATACATAAGTAAGCTGAAGAATAAGATCTAAATACATTTTGCTGCCCTCCATCTTGCTCAAACTTCTGGCTTTTGGCCATGTGATCATCTGTACCTAAACAAATACAAAGCTTTTAGTATTTATACACTTCTAATGGAGGTTTCATCTATGCACACCAGTGATATAATGACAAGGATAACTTCTGTAACAGTGTGGCACAATACCATATTTCTGACTTCATAATGAAGCCTTAGACATTTACTGTAACTTCGTGCTATTTATAGTCATATATATACATATGTGTATTTGTATGTCTTTATCCACATGCACTTTTTCCATTGTGCATGTGATATAATCAAAAAGCTTCTTGGTCAATGACAAGATATACTTTAATGCTGTTGCATTTCCCACACACTTTTTGTTGTTAGTTAGCAATATAGTATGAAATTAATCAAGGCAGTATTTTTCTTTTCCCACTGTATCAGCTTCCAGGAAATGTTGTGCAGCACAAGTCCTTAATTCAGCCCCCCACCTTCCCACTATATCCCACCATTTCCCTAATAGTTTCAATGAAAGGTGATCACCAGATCTAGCAGAGCAACTTCCTATGAGTATTAGGGGATCAAGGGAGGGAGAAGCAAGTTCCAAGCATGGCATCTTTTCAAAGAGCATACTGTAATACTGTCAGTGGTTACTTACTGCAATAAGGAGATTGAAAGCCAAGGAGATCCTCAAGCTAATCTGAACTGGTTAGTAATTCCTCACCTTTCTTAATCACCACATCTGTAGTTAGAAATTAGTACTCAATATAATGAAGCCTAGGATGCACTTGTGTTATGTCAATAAATCTGGAGTAAATAGCATTCAATTTTCACTGGTATTTGCTGGCAGAAAGATTGTTTCATGAGCATCTTCTTGCATTTTTTCTTTAAATGTAGCACTTATCTTTGTGTACAAAAAAAGTTAACATGGCAGTAGTTAACATGTGAAGCTGAGAAAAGAGCAACTGTGAGCCTTGTTGAGAAATGAGTACTTTTATGGGCCATGTTTAGTCATGCAAGGCAACCAGGAAAATTACTTAACCACTCTAGGTTTCGTGTTTAGGTATAGAAGTCCTTGTGGTGTTCTGTGTGAAAAACCCTTAAGTCATTACTTGAATTGACAATACTTGGTTCTTTATTTAATGGAAAAAAAGAAAGAGAAAAAGATGCTTGTTTTCTAGGTCATGTGAAGTTCTCATGAAACTGTAGCTCCAGCAATTAGAGCTGCAATTAGGAGTAGATCATGGGATTAAAAATGAGAAACTGTGTTTTGATCAGGAAATGCCGAAGTGCTCAGTTTGATTCATTAAGTATCACATGAGGCAAGAGAAGTCAGCAAAGAAATGATAATATCTGTTCTACAAGTGACTTCTGTTGTATGAGCTTCACTACTGAGTTTTGAGTTTTATGACTTCTTGCTATCACTCTAATCATGATCTGATTTTCCTTTTTGTTTCTCCTCAAACCATGACATATTAATTTCCAGTACTTTTTAATTATCTGTAAAATTAACTCATGTTCTGAAGAATGGAACGGTGTTTTGGCTGGTTCCATCATCATAAAATATTCTCTCTGGATGCATGCATGCCTGTGATCTTTACTGACCATCTTAACATCCAAAGCTTGTTCATGAGCCACTAGCCCACAAAAATAAGCACAGTCCTTTTCTTTTTCTATGAGAATGCCTGCGTGTTCTTCCTTCCGCTTTTATCAGCGCTGAAATTAGAAAACAGGCAGACTTTGAAGAGCATGTGTTAAAAATCTGGTGATGAGTTAAGCTGTTCTTTCTTATTTCAAAAATGAGAAAAGGAATTCCTTAAGTATCCATAAGAAAAAAATGAATACTAGACCAACCACATTCTTTATAGTTACTTCTGAAGTGCTTCTGTGAACAGAATTACTGCAATTTAAATTAGAAGGACAGTGGAATATTTCTAAAAGCACAGACGTACTGTTTGTTTCTCAGTCAAATTCTCAGCTTGGAAACTTCAGTTTTCTTAGATCTGTGATGGTGCAGCATGAAATATATAAGCCAGAAAAAGAGCACATGCAATTGTACTTGAAATGTCTTGACTGCTAGATCAATTTTAATGATAGGAAAAATTCGAGATTACTCATACAGAGAGAAAGAGAGATTGGACCATGCATGATTTTTAATTTGGAGCTTGCAACTCCTTTCTACCAGTATTTCGCAACTTGCTTTAGGATTCTTAATTGCTACAAGTTCTACAGCTTTTGCAGAGCTGGAGACCAGTGAGTAATCAGGAATTTCAAACCAAGTTGATCAGGTCATTGCTATCAAATGTTGCATTAAATATATTGAGTAGATTAAGTTGTAACATTCAAATTAAGGCTTTTATATAATTTGTCCGAGGAACTTAACCTTGCTATGTTTCTTCTTTTTAATGAGGTTATGATGCCTGTTAATTTATTATTTTCGTGTAATTGCTCTTCTAGGCAATCATTCAGTACAATCTTAAGCCCTTAATCTTTAATACTTCAGGCTTATTGCAGCATGATTAAGCTAAAATGGTGTTTTGACAGGTCTGTGACTGGAGGGCCCCTTATGAGTAACACTGATTTCTGATTCTCTGCAAGTTGTGAATTTAACCATTCGTGATGGGGTATTCTAGCTGGCATATAAACTTTGGTTTTGCCATTTAACAATAAAGTTATGCTTCTGTTTTGCTTTCATGGGTTTGTTTCCAACAGTGAGATTCTTTCTTCACAGAAATAAAGGGACAGATCATTTCACGTGGATAATGCAGATTGAGTAGGACAAGTGACAATTCTAGAGATAGCACAGGCACTTTTGGTGGCTATCTTCCATTTGCTGTTTTTTTCCTACCAGTAGCTGTTGTAGAGGGTTTTTTTTCTAGAAGAGGTGATGGAAGTACTGCATTTGCATTGCTTGTTTCTATCAGAATTATGGCTATTAATATTTGTGTTATTATTACATTAATAACAATTAGGAATTTTTCTAATTCATCTTTTCAAAAACATTGCCTATTCTACTACAAGGCAGAGCATTGTTCCTTGTTTTTATCAATCTTTTTTTTTTTTTTGTAAACATATCCTAGGGAGACAGCAAAATGTTAAAAAATATAGTTTTGAAGTTCTAGAAGCATAAAAAACTTAGTGCTTTATGAAACATTTAGAAACTATTCAGACAAACCTCATTTAGAGCAATTAACAGCTGACCTCTGACTTGAGTCTTCTCTCATGCAGTCATTATTATGAACTAATGACTAAGTGCTATTTTTGGTTGTTGCAAGGTTAAAAGTGATGAATTTCAGAAAGCCATTTTGAAAGACAGATAACAAAAGGCGTTTTTACCTTGCAGTGACTTACTGATCAGCTGATGTCTTATTCAAACTGCAGGGAAGTGTAATATAAAGGCAGTCAGAGCTGGATAAGTGAGCTGAAAGTAGAGCTGAATGATGTATTTGATTGTTTTACAGGTTGAAAATTGGTGTCCTCGTTTACCTTGGAGAGCAAAAAATCCTAATGAAGAAACTGATCAAAAGACAGTGGTAAGAAAAACATTAAAACAGTTCAGTATTGTTGTTCCTGCAAAAGATTCTGGAATCTTGTTTCACAGAAATGCTAATGAGACTAGAATTTACCATTGCTGTTCCTCAGTTCCGGAAAGCTGAAGGGAAGAATGTTTGACTACATATATGTACACGTTTGCGTATATGGCTCATCATGTACTTTCTTCAATCATGCTGCAGTCTTGGTGGTAGATTTTCTCTAAAAGCATTTACATACTTTAGGTTATGAAGCACTGTGCACAAAGATACAGCTCCAATAGACTCTTCATTAGTAGTAAGCAGCCCATATCGTCACGTCCACCATTGCTCCTTTACACATCTGTGAAACTGCCCATTTTTGCTGTCCCATAAATCTGAGATTTATATAAAACAATACTGTAACAGAAGAGCCTTATGTCAATTTCGGTTTTGTAACATTTTGATTTTTTTTCTGTTGGAAACAACTTTGTATATTCTTGAGTTTTTAAATTCTTTTTGTCTAATTATGTAGCACTTAAGTATTTTTAAAAAGTGCTGAGCTGTGTGTGACCATTGATTATGAAATGTAGATATAGGTTGAAATATGGTCTAAAAACCAATTGGTTTTAGATTGATTTAGCAATTTAGCTTGAAAACTAGTATTTCCTTTTAAAGTATTACTGTAGTAATTGAAGCATTACTGTAGTACTGCATTACTGTAGTACTGCATTACTGTAGTAAAGTTTGTGCTTTAATGATATCGTCAGATACTTCCTTGCATTTTGAAGATCCATAACATAACTGAATCTTCAGTGTAACTTTCTGAATTAGTATTTTGTCCTAAAGATGCTTTAACCTCATTGTGCAAACACAGGAAAAACACCAGCTCTTGTATTGCAGAAATAGATACACTCTGAAACACCACAAATGTATTCAAAGGCAACTAAGTACTACTAATAAAAATAATTACTTTACATGGCTTAGAAACATCTATTTAAATAAAGATATTTTAAATATTTGAACTAGAATCTCAGCTTTGCTTCAACATAATTAGTATACCTTTTTCTAACATTCTGCTCTTTAACAACAAGTAACGTAAAGCTCAGAATTCATGTTTGGGAATTTTCATCACTTCTGGAAGGTCCACAGTTTGAAGAATAACATTAGTATTTTTTTTGTATGGTTTTTTTTTTAACATTTTTATTGAAGGCTGAAATTCGTATCAACTTTGATCCTCTCTACAAAATGATGTCGAGGCATGAGGAATTCAGATGGATGACGTTACGTATCCGACGAATGGCTGATACCTGGATCGAAGCAATTAAATCACTTGCAGAAAAACAAAATTTGGAGAATAGAAAACGAAAGAAGGCAAGTTAAAACATTTCTTACTCCTGACACTTGCAATCATTTAGCCTGCTTTTAAACTACTTTTCCAAAAGCGACTTTGGTGTAGAAAGATCAAATATGTCTAAGAGGTTCGTGTCGATCCCTTTTCAAAGGGTATTTTATTTTTTTTTAATTATTTTTCCATTGGTGGTTTACACATAGTTTTATAAACATTTAGTAAGGTAGCCATTGAAAAAATTTTCTCATCTCTTTAATCTTAACTTGAAGAAAAACTATATGGAAGGTTCCAAAGAGAGGAACTGTGAATTTAACAGAAACGGATTACACAGGAATGTTTTAGATACCTGTGGAAAACAACAGTTGTGCAGCATTTTAAATGGCATCTTTGTTTTGGATTGGAGGAGACTTTGAGTTGATCACAGCTTTTGACTGGATCTGTTTTGACCTCTAGTGAGTCCAGGTTAAAGTCTGTAATACTCTTGAAATCAAAGTTTCTATTTTGTTTTCATTTTTAAGTTTTATTTCTTATTTACCTCAACTAGTTAAAATAAAGCCAACAGTTATAAACACAATAATTTCCCTTCCTGCCCTATGCTGACTGGAGCCAACCCTGAGAGGCAGTCATGATCCTACCACAGGTTGGCTCCTTGCTTGAGGTTCACAGTTCCTGCGTGAAATACAGACTCCGTGTTGTGGTTCTCAGATTTGTCACATGCCACAGTCCTTGAGAAGGCTCACCCTCTGTCAATGCTTTGCTCACTTCAAGCAGCAATCCAGCCTGCTTAGTAAAGAAATATAGCATCTCAGAATGCATAAAAAGAAACAGAAGCAGTACTTTCTTGTTCAGGCAGCTTTGATGGGGATGTTCTAGTGCTTATTCTATGCTTTTAAAAGCTCTTTAAGGTTGCTCTGCAAAACACATGATGACTTCATGTTAATTTGACCAATTCTGGATTGGAGCAAAATGTTTTTATGGATGTTACATTAAAGAGTGAAGGAGAGGTGTTTTGATGTCAGGGGGCTTTGTGCTTGGCACTATATGTACCAACACTCAAATAACAGTCCAGAGACATAGTGAAGTGTTGAAGTGTTTGGAACCAAGCTGAGCTTACTTAGAAAGTTAAGCACAAATTTCAAGGAGCTGCAGAGAAAACTCTCCTCCAGTGTCACTCTTGTGAAGTCTTTCCTAGCTTTTAATGGCTTGCTCACAACAACATGAACTAAACTGTCTTATTGCATAAGTGTATCAGAATACAGATAATTTTGTGAATAATATCGAATTTGGAGTGTTATTACTGATCTGCTGGCACATAATAATGCAAGTAATATGGTAACATTCTTACAGTTACTAAAGATAAATTATGAATTAAGTTATTTACAAGGTCTCTGATTAAGGTGGAGGTGTTGGATTGCTGTTGTTGATTGTTGGGTTTTGTTTTGGCTTCGTGTTTCTTTTTGTTTCTTTTTTTCTGTCTGTAGATGGTTGGAATTAAAGAGAAAGTGCTGTGAAGTATGTTATCTGCATGTTTAATGTCATTAAGGAATGTACAACTTTTCTTTCCAGATTCTTGTTCACCTTGGGCTTTTGACAAAAGAGTCCGGATTCAAGATTGCTGAGAATGCGTTTAGTGGTGGCCCGCTTGGTGAATTAGTCCAATGGAGTGATTTAATTACATCTCTCTACTTACTGGGCCATGATATCAGGATTTCAGCTTCACTGGCAGAGCTCAAGGAGTAAGGAGATTACTTTCAATTTTGAAATGGAAATACAAAGGGGAAAAAAAAGGGAAACTGTAAACATTTGAAGCTTCTATTAGCAGAGCATATAATTTCTTGAAGGATAAAATGAAAGTGATAATTCACTAAACAGACAAGATTGTTTTCATGAGTTAAATATATGTGCTATGAAAAAGATAATGTGTTTTCATTGTAGCTTCAGGCTCCTGAGACTTCATAAGTGAATGTTGTAAAATTTAAACTAAGCAGCTTATTCTTTAACATCCCAGGTGCTTTAACCAGCTGCAGTAAGAAGTTTTAACCTAATTCTATGTCCTCTTCTTCAGTTTATACTATTATTCAATCAGTATCTGATTTTTAAAATAAAGGTTTTAATACTTTAAAATATTTTTTATAGTTAATTGCTTATGTTAGGTCAAATTGCTGCCTCACTTATCTTTCTTTTGCTGTGCATTAGACAGCATTAAGCATAATTAATCTGTTTTAATCTTGAGAACGTACACCTTTTCTGTGGCTTTTCAGATTTTTTATAATAAATATAACAGCATCATTTTTAGCTCTTACACCATAGAGCTGTCAACGGAAGTCTGAAATTATTTTCCATCACTTTCAAAACACACAATTTTTAAACATTCTGACCATATTACTTTTTTTTTTTTTTTTTTTTTTTTAAAAAAAAAGTAAAGAGTCTTTTAGCAAAAATTAGCAACTTACTGATGTATAAACAGCTCTTCAGTGAATGTTGAGGATCTTGGGTACTTAAATATAGTTACATAGCTAATGTTTTGTATAGGGAAAGACTGGCTTTTTTGGAAAGATGAATTATCTGTGTAAATAATAAAATAGCATGAAATCAAGGTAGTTCTGAAAGTAATACTTTTCCGTGTTCCTTCTCTTTTCGTTTAGAATTATGAAGAAGGTTGTAGGTAACAGATCTGGCTGCCCTACCCAGGGAGATAAAGTTGTAGAACTCATCTACATTGATATAGTGGGACTCACTCAGTTTAAGAAAACACTTGGACCATCATGGGTGCATTACCAGTAAGTATCATAGTTAGTTGACCTCTTAACTGCTTTGTTAAAGAGCTTCTATTGAATAACATATCAAAATATATCAAAATACTGATGTGAGTACATTTTCATGAATTGGAAATTATTTAAAAGTAAAAATGTAGTTCTCTGTTGCCCTTCACTCTTTGGAATAAAGGAGCTGTTACTTCTTTGTTGCATACCCCCTTTACCACTTCTCCCAAGCAAGTCTGGAATACTTGAAGTAGACTGAAACATTTTTCATCTCTGTGCATTATATCATGTTGCAGAGCAATCATCTTTTCTTACCCTCTCTTCTTTATACCAACACCCTCGACTTTTGTCCCGTAATGACTGAAAGATGATTGAATTTTGTTGTTGGTTGGCTAACCCAAGCATGTTTTCCTTGTCAGTGTTTGTAAGTATACTGGATTGATGATTGCAAAGATTTAACTATTCAGAATTTATTGCTCAACCACAGTTTAGTATTTCTGTCTCATCCCCAAAATTGTTGAGGAGAGAATTGTCTTCAGGGATAGATTTAAGGAATAAACCTTCTAGTAACAGTACTTACTGATGTTTCCATAATCTAATAGCATTAGGAATGGAAGATGGTGGTCATAAGAAATTACTTAGTATGGTCTTATTGTCTGCAGTTACAGAACCACATTTACTTCTGTGAGTAACTTGAAATCAGTAAGCTTCATTTGTGTTGCTTTGATATTATGTCAGCATGAAATAAAACCAACTCTAAATTACTGACTTTAAAGTTTTAATTCCTAGTTGAATTAGCTGTTTTTATGATCCATAAAGTCCAGTAAATCCTACTTGATAAATGCTACTGAAAGGTGTTCTCTGAAGGAAGAATTGTTTTCTTTCTGCCTCAGGATTTGCTAGAGCCTTGTGTCTTTTCAGCATAATTTTAAAGGAGAGTACTGTGATCAACACTGCAGATTAGATTACTCCTAATCTCTTTTTTGAAGCGGAGCAGTAAATGGATATTCTGGTTTCTAGGAGTCTACTAATAAAGCTAATCTCATTTTCCACTGAGCTACAGTTGGTTGTCTGTCTGCCAGATGTAATTGTCATTAAATGGTAATATTACAGTGTTGTGGTCAGGATAGAAAACCATGTGTATAAATTGAAAAAGTTTCTTCTATTTTTTTTTTTAATTTCCTATATGGCATATTCTGTAGCAAAGATATGAAGATATGCCATGATGTTGAGATTATCACCTTAGCTCTTCAGTTTTTGTTGTTTGCTAAAGATTTAATCATTCATGAAACAGTCAGTCTGTTTTTCATTGATTCCCAATATGTGGTAATGACTGAATGCTCTGTTTAAGCAGAGTAGAATTAAATTTAATTGTAAATAAATATCTTAGGTAGCATATGAGTTTTTCATATGGTTTTGAAGATGAAAATTAAATCACTTAATTGCTCTTCTGCAGCACTGAGTATCAGAGGATTGAATAGGAGCTCATCTAGTTTACACTGTTGCTGAAAAACAGATCACCTGTATTTATCCTTCTTAAGTGATTTTTTTTTGCCAAAAATACCACAGCCATTCTTTCATACAGTTATACTTAAGTGTCTTTCTTGATCTGATTTGTTGCAAACTTCTTGTTCCTGCTTGTTCCCCCATAGTTCTGGAGACTAAATTATTTCCCAGAGACTACCAGAATTGATTAGAGCAGATGAATTAATTCAGTTTCAAGCAAGCTATCTCCTTTTTAAGAATCCTATTGCAAACTTTTTTTTTTCAGCATTGTAAGTTACCTCATAAAGTTTGTAGCAATAATAATAATATTTTTCAAGTTGAGGGAGTTAAGTCTGGTATAAAAGACCTTATTTACATGTTTGCGTTAAGTTCACTCCAGTAAAGTAAATGTTATCATACATGTAACTGTCTTAAATCCCTTGTTCTTTACATACTTTGTTTCTTCACTTATTAGTATGTAATGATACCAGAAACTGTTCCCTTATCTTGAAAGAAATGTTCTGCTTCAGGCCAGAAGATCTGTTTTTCACCAGACCTGCTGGTCAGCTCAGTCTGTTTTGTGCAGACCAGACTCAACTATAAGTAAATGAAAGTTTGTTATTCACTTCTGGTTGAAATAGAGTGGAAGAATAAACTTCTGCCTACAGCCCTTTCATGGAAGTACTACATGTAATCTTTGTGAGGGCTTGAGCCCTGAAGAAGGTTTTGGCAATCTGAAATCAGGTTCTTAGAACTACTAGCTCAGAAGAATGACCTGCTCTGAGAAGTGTTTCTGAGCTTCTGAGCAACTGAAATACTGCTTTGTGCTTTTGAGGTCTGTAACACCAACACCTCTCTAACACATAGTACGTGTTTTATTTGTGGCATAATTGTGCTGTAAGTAGCATGAATATATCAAAAGTGATCTCATTTTTTGAGTGTGCATTATATTCAAGCAGAAGAATGCCTAGATATGGCAGTGTTTTTCAGTTTTCAAGCCTGGATATTTAAATGAAGTTTATGTGCAAGGAAGTAACATAAAAATTAGTATCTTATTATAGTTTGAGTAGTGCAGCTCATTGCTTTTGTGTTGTTTTGTTTTTGTTTATAAATCCAAAATGTGTTTACATCAGTGACAGAAGAAAGATGTTAATGTCGATATTTCTGTTTGCTATCTACCTATCCTCTGTTTAGAACTCATCTATGGTTTGTAGAAGTCTTTTGTAGATAAGAAGAGCGCTTTCTGGCACAGTCATTGTAAAATACTCCGTGTGTCAAAAGACAATGCTCTGCTCTCTGATAGTGATGTATCCCTTGCTTTCCAGTTTTTAGGTGTGAGAGAAATGTCATACTATAAAATACACTAGTTCTCAGTATTTCCAGCATTATCTTTGTGAAATCTAAAAAATAGTTCAGCTTAGTATTTGTAAAGAGGAGACGTGTGACAGCTTGGTTTTTAATCTGCTGTGAGTCAACCAATCGTGCCCCTGAATAGCTTAATCAGTCTGACACCAATCATTTTCGCTGTGATCTTTCTTGTCTTTCAGATTTTCTCCACACTCTAACACTGTAAACACAGATTTTGTTTTCTCTGCTTCCTTGTTGAGCTTATTATCCATTGCACTGCAGTTCTCACACTATTACTTGAGAATCCCTGTTTGTCTTGGACATAGTTACACTTAATCACTGTATATTAGTGCTCATATATCTTACATCCGAATATAAGAGAAAGGGAGGAAACAAAGCACTTTGAGTTGATGGCTTGCAATGCCTTGCTCCTTACATGTATGATTAGGCAAACTCCAATAGTATTGCAGTTTTTCATTAGCTCTCACTCACTATCTTTTTTCTCTGCACTCGTGTACCTGTCCATTTGCTGTACATTCAGTAAGAATTCTGTTTCAAGGCTTGCCAAGAAATAAGAGGGCTTTTATTACTCAGTGAGTCATCACTGCAGAAGTTTTTTTTTGTTATTCTTCTGGAGTATTTTGTATAATGCAGAGATAATTGCTACCATTGTAAAATATTTTCATTGAGAACAGTTGACATAAAACACTGCAAAGAAACTGATCTGTCAGCTTTGTTGCTTGGTGAATTGTTGTATATTTTGACTTGCTTTTTGCTTGAAAGATCTCAGTGAAGATTTAAAAACAAACAAAGTAAATTGGCCCCATTTGTACTCTTGTATGCAACAGTGTCATTCCATATGGCAGTGTATAAGTTGCTGTCACACTGGGGTATTTTCTCTTTATATGGGCTTAGGACATATATAAGTTGTATGTTGAAGACTTGGAAATGCAGCTGCTTTACTAGTGACTTTTACTGCTCTGGTTTGCACCATACACAAGCCTAGTGACATAATGTGCTGTAGTGAGTGTTCATATCTCTATATCATAATGCAGCGTGCCACATAATGCTACACAGCCTGTATAACTCTATCTGACAGATTTTGTTACTGGAAAGGTGAAGAATGGGAGAGTCAACACTGTAATAGAATTCATTTCCAGTGGTCCTAATGGTCAGAATAACTGCTGCAAATAAAGTTCCTGTCTAAACATTATCAAAGGTTTACCAGACTGCATTTTCAAGATGTAACTTCTTGAATCTGAAGTTTCCACACCGTTTTCTTCATATTAAGATTATTTTTTTGTCTGGCTTTCATGTCCCGTGGACTCTTTTTTCTTTTTAAATAAAGCAAGTCGTAATTGGATTAATTTTTGTTCAAGGAATTAAAGGAATTGGCCAAAGGAATTGGCAAAGAACTGAGTGTAAATCTCTCATCTAGACTTCTAGTAATCCAATGCCAAGATTTCTTTCAGTTGTAAACTAGCTGTTGAAGACTTCTGGCTTTTGTATTACTTCTTTAGAAGTCTCAGGCCATTCTCTTATAAAACTTTTTGTCACACTGAAAGTCTTCAGCAAATTAGTCAGTCTTCAGTGCTTCCCTGGTAGGTTTAATTGACCCAGAAGTCAGAATCTGGAGACTAAATACAATTGTCTAAAGACACAGTACTAGTCTAATCTTGACACATGGCCCTTGGCACTGGTTTTGTACTAGTGCATTAGAGCATTAGAAAATAGATGAAGAATCCTCTCCTGCCTAAATTCGACTTCAGAGCCTAAGGATTGTAGGTGACCATAGTCACATTCCCATAAGCTCTACTTAGATGTTCAAGCGTGACTTCATTTTGTTAGAACTGAAAAAAAAAAGCCAAAACAAGCTCCAGGGTTGTTATTTGAATGTCTGAAATATCCTTGAACCTGCTGATTGTAATGTCTTTGTGAATGTACCAGAAATGTTTGAAATTGAAATGTACATTCAGTTTATAAATTATTCTCAGTTGCAAATACAAACAAAGCACTTCTTAATTATAACTGTGTGTGTATATGCACACATGTTTATATATATATATATATGTATATATATATATATGCACGTGTACCTACAGAAAATCTTTTTTTGTTGTTGTAGGTGTATGCTAAGAGTTCTGGATTCTTTTGGAACTGAACCAGAATTTAACCATGCCCATTATGCTCAGTCTAAAGGCCACAAAACACCATGGGGAAAGTGGAACCTTAATCCCCAGCAGTTCTATACAATGTTCCGTAAGTATCCCTGGCTTTGTGAAGAGTTTGGAGCTTAATAATGAAATGCTATCATTGAGGTGGATGTTTGAATTATTGAAGACAATTCTATGGCTTAATATAATGCAGATAAAAGGCAGAATCATAAGTGAAAATTTTCTGCCCTACTTTCACGCGCAGGAAAAAAAATATATCAATATGAATAAAGATTGGGAACTCCCTGCTCAAGCTACCAGTGGAAAGTGGTGGCTGGCTTTTTCTTCTGTGAATGTCTTTTGCATTGTTATAGGCTGTACTGCTGATGCAGTTGTGAGGAGAAAATGGCAGAAATACAACTGAGCAGCACAATTCCTTATGAATTCTATATAAATTTTATCGGATTAAATGATTACCTGACCTACTCTATCACGAGACTTGACTTAACAGTACTCGGTTCTAGGCTCAAAAGATCATTCTTTTGCATGTAATAGTAGCAATTTAAGTTTGTTCTCTCTGAAGGGTGCAGAAAGATTCACCACTGCCGGCTAGCTTGAGGGTATGTGAGGCTTAGGAAAGAGGAAAGTGTGTGCTGTTACATGCTGGAGTTCTCAGCCCAAGTCTAAAAAGAAGCCCTGGGTAGGGATCAGCCTGACTTCCAAAGTTTGGTGATGGTCCCTGAGGCTATGGCCAAGGCACGTCCTGTTCTTTCTAATTAGATGACTTAGTCACATCTTTTAAACTTTTCTGCTCTTCGTAGCAGAAGTGTACACACTGCTGTCTATCTGGCATGCTTTGGAATTTAGCTGTCTTGTTAAATTCTTTGAAGAGGCGTTCCAACTGAAAAAGGCGTAGTAGGGAAATGTGGCTTGGGAGTGGTTGCAGAATTAGTGACTGGACTTTAATGAGCAGAGCTTGTTCCATATCCACACGATTTGTTAATATTATTGGTCTATATCATACATAGAAAAGGAGCCGAAGGCTCAAGTGTGTGTATTTGAGTAGTTCAACTATTAGGAACTTTGACTGTGAGATCCTGCTCAAGAGAACACCAAGGGTGATGGTGTGGTTGAGGAAAGCATTTGCATGAATACTTGTGGTACAGCTGTGTGCACTTCCTCAGACACACTCCAAGAAATGCAGAAGTGCAGCTCCCTAGGGAAAAGCTCTGTTACGTAAGGCAACTTAGACTACTGTTATATTCTATTCTTTGCAACAGAGCACTTCATAATCAGTTTTTTCAGTTTTTCTGAAGAGTATGACTCTATTGAAATTTCAGTAAGTAAGCATTTCTGGGTTTTAATACCGGAAACAACTGCTATTTTTCCTTTATATAAAACATGGCAAAGAGATTGCAAGCAAGTGCTTTCTGAAGCATGAGTGATTGCAGTATTATAGATTGGTCAAGGATTTAGAGCTTTTTTTTTTTTTATAGTAGGTGCCAAAAAGAAATGTTTTGCAATATTTAAAGTTTATTTTTGTATTTTGTTCTCTGATGCAGAGATAGCAGCATCATTATTGGGTTGTGATTGAAAGTGCATACATATCATGCATCAGTAAAGATTTTATGCCAGATTGAAACCCTGGTTGCCTTTCCAAGATTCCCAGACTCCTATTCTGTTTTGAGAACTCTGATTATAAGGGCAGAAAATTATTAGTGAGCAACAAGCAAGCTGTATTCAAATCTTTGGTGTATTACCATGCTTGACTGTTCACTAAGCTTTTCTGAAACATGAGGGTGTTTTTTTTCCCATTCTTATGTTTTCTATTTAAATTCTATTATGAAAAGTAACCCCATTAGTACTTCTAATACTGCATGATCTTGTTTAAAAATCCATCTGCATGCTTCCTGTGAACGATATTTAAGGCAGTGAAACCAGTTCTAAGTGCTAACTTCAACAGAGGTTTTTCTTTTGAGTGTGTTCTGCCTTGCCTCTCCTTTGAATGCGATCTCTTATCCAAAAATATGAAAGGACAGAAAAAAGCTCCTTTTCAGGCATATTTGCCACATGCCATTTACTTTGCTAAATGCTAAAAAGTCTTTGGGCCTAAGTGAGTGCCTAGCTGTTGCTGAGGCGTTTTGTTAGAAAAAGAGTAATTGTCATGTGAAAAACTAAATATAACAACAGAGAATTGTACACTGTGTATGGATTCTCTGTTCTGTTGTGTTACCCCATTGGCTGATTTTCAGCAATCAAAAAGTAAAACTTCATAATTGCAATAGAATTTGTTTCTAGAACTTTGTCTATGAGTTTTACATTGCATATGTCACACCTGTCTGGAAGCTGTCTTTCTTTTTCTTCTTCTTTTTTTTTGTTTTTTGGTTTTTTGTTTGTTTGTTTTGTTTTGTTTTTTAAGTTGTGCAAAATGTGCTCACAAGTTGTCAACTTGAATTAATAGAAAAAGGTGGGACTTATAGAGAACCTAGGATTTATTGCAGCTATATTTCTATGCAGGCAGGTAAGGCTGTGCCACTTTTTAAATATGTGCAAAAAACCAACATGTTGCAGTAGTTGTTGTGCAGTACTGATGAATTCTTACCAGAAGCTTTGAACACTGTAGTTCATCCCTGCAATTGAACACCTTTTCAACAAACAAACAATCAAAAGCACCAGCAGCAACACCGCCCACAAAATAGACAAAAAAGCCCACTAACTTAGTTGCCATGAGCCTACAATTCTTCACCTTTATAGGAGGAAAAGTGCCTAATGCTGCTGGAGGTCACTGCTGAAAAAAGACCAATGAAACTAAAAGTAATATAAAAAATGAAGAGTAAATTGTATATCCTTTGCAACTAACACAAAAGTTTTGACATTTCAGTTGTCCCTTTTTTATTTTATAACATATATTTGAGTGAATTAAGCAGTGAAACTTGTATTCTGATTTGCGTGGTGTGACTGTGTAGGCTAATACTTAACATAGAATGTATGTTGACTCTTTCAATATAGGAGGTGAGCCCAAGTAATTTAATAAGGTTTATCACAGCAGCATACTGCTTTGTTAACGAGCTTAAATACCTTGTTCCTTCAAATCACATGGTATTGTATCTTTGGGATTGTCAAGCTGGATTCCTTCTGGTTCTCTTATCTCTAATAGTAAAATGAGGCTGAGTACACACAAAAAAGTCAGTATCATTGGCCTTGGTCCAGCTGCAGAAATTTTATTACAGGAAATGAGCCAGAAAATAGCTGCTTACTTCAGTAGACATGTGCAGAAGGACTTAAAATTAGTAGGAGCTATTCTCAGAAATAAGGTAAGCTAATGTATCTCTCAGTGAGAATGTGAAGTAGTTTGTTGAATATTATGTTCCTTATGCCTATTTTCTTGGCAACATGAATGCTTTTATAACATTAACTAATACTTAAAGAGATTCTGAATATGCTCCATTTCTTACAGCTCACACTCCAGATAACAGCTTCCTTGGATTTGTGGTAGAGCAGCATTTGAATTCCAGTGACATTAAACACATTAATGACATCAAAAGGCAGAATCAATCTCTCGTTTATGGCAAAGTAGATAATTTCTGGAAGGTGAGTTTTCTGAAGTCATTTGCCTGAGTAAATTTATTTTGGTCAATATAATAAGACATAACTCTCAACTTAGAGGTATTCCTTTTCTGTGAACCTGTTCTTTGTCTGAAAATCAGCATTTAGAGAATTGAATTGAAGATCTTGAAGTCTTGCTGATGAAGAAACTTGTATCTGTCTAGATTAAGATGGATCCATTGTTATTTATGCACACCCTACTAATGGATTAATAGTTTTTTGTAAACTTAATATCACAATAATTTTGGAAGATACAGTAGCTGTTAGAAGCAATGGGAAATTAAAGGTTCCAAAAAGCTTTGTAAGCTTCAATCATTGTTGTATACAAACGTTTCATTCTGTGATTTATTTTTATATATCTACAACCAGAAGTGTGCTGTATTTTGAACTGGTCAGGGTATTTCACTGAAGACTCTAGAAGTGTGCAACCTCATTTTATTTCTATGTAACGTCAGATCTGCGTTTCTTTAGTGTTGTAATTACTGCAGTGTCTCTCCCACTTGCAGAGAAGTACTGTAGAATAACAACACTGAGATCTGGTCGTATTTTCACCAAATATCATATATTGGGCTGCATAAAAAAAATTCACATTTTAAGTCTTTTCAATTGCAAATGGAACTGATAGGTACAGAGACTGTGCTGTACATAGGACTAAATGACTGAACAGTGAGGGCACACCTGTTTCTCACATTTTCCTTCCTTTTCTCTTGCTTGGCATGAGAATATCAGTCTTGTGCAGTTTTCTGACCCACAGAATTAACATTCAGTCTAATAACTGCTAGACAAAACAGAAACTTAAGATGAATGGGAAAATGTTGCCAGGATGTTCAGAAGAAAAAAGGTAAAGCTGAATGCTTCTTAGTTCTTGTGCTGAGAAAATTATGTATATTAGCTGTGCATGTTCAGTTGTAATCCTTTGGGTTTATATATGGGTTTATTGCCCTAAGCCATGTAATCGGTGTTTTAAAAGGAAGTTTTACTTAGTATCATACAAATACTCTGACAGTTATTCTTTTTGATCTCATGCTATAGAATGACTTGCTGTGTTCCCATTTGCAGCCTGCTTTGCCTGCACAGTACTAGTGCAGAGCTAGGATCCTTAAATTCAAGTCTCTTGTGGCCGAAGCTCTTGCACATTTAGTTTCTGATCTCATTATCAGTCTCTCAGTTGCATGTAAATAGTTACCTGTGCTTTCTGACCTGATTTCTACTTTGTATCAGTAGAACAACCTGTTGAGCATTAGCTGGATTTAAGGAATGAGATGTGGTTAGTCACTAGTGGAGGATTTCTTTTCACTGACATACATGTCTTTCTCAGTCTTCATTAATTCAGAAATATGTATTAATAGATTATCTGCCCAGAGGGGAGACTTGTGATTGTCTAGTCTGAGATTCTGTGTGACATACAGGATACTCATGAGCTGATTAAAGCAAGAACATGGCTTTTTGGAAAAGAACATCCTATAATGAGTTTTAAATAGCACACAATGGAAACCTTACTACTTCCTCTGATTAATTTCTTAATTGCCTTCTCCTTTATGACTGTGATTTATTTTTATTCCTGTACAAATTTGTAGACTGTAATTTCCAGTCTTAGTAGCAGTTGTAGGCTTTACTACTGGATTGATGATATTGCTCTTATTTACCCATTATATTGGTTGAGGTAAAGGAAACCCATAGTTATCTTTTGAAAAGCCTGTGTGCATGTATTGAGCTGCTGAGAGCTCTGAGGTTTCTAAGCCTTAAGAGTTCTCACACATCTGTTTTCTCTGAACCTTTTCAATATTGTTCACATTCCTCTAGAAACGTGAATGTTAGCAAAGGGCATTTGGGCCCTTTACTAGCACCAAAACAAAAAACAAAAATTGTATGCATTATTATATACATCCTCTTCACCATTAGTAACTTTTGTTCAGATTAATTATCGTCCAAGATCCTCACGTCGTGTTTTTTTAGAAATGCTACTTTCCAACTCATTGCTCCATTTCAATTAGTATTGCCTGCCTTGTTTCTCCAAAAATGTGGGACTTAATTTTTGGCCATATTAAACTGCTTCCTGATGGCTTGTTACACCAAGCACATCTTAACTGTAACTGTGGTCATGCCCACATTGGTACGTGAAGTGCAATCACTGAAGACAGGGTTTGAATTGGTGACCGCGTGGGATGTCTTATTTGGATGGACAAAATCCAATTCTTGTCATCAGCAGTGGGCTTGAATTAATCTTGTGTCTGTGTAATTTGCTTATTTCTCATTTCCTTATTTTCCTTGTTCAGTGCTCTTTTCATCTGCCGCCATGGTTGTACTGAACTAGACTAATCTGTTTGTCCAGCTACTTGTCTTTATACTGAATGAAGCCAATTAACAAGAAGTGTAATCTCCACTGTGTCACTGTTGGTTCTGGTCAGTCATTAGAGAAGCACAGTGTGAAGGGGAGAGTGTTCTGATTCCCAAATTGAAATGCTTTTTTGGAATATTAGTAGCAAATAGCTTGCTTAATTTTAGACCAAATGGATTGAAATGGAACCAGGGAGACTATATTGTCAGCTCAGAGTTCATTTTTTTTCTTTTCCCTGGGAGAGAGACTAGAAATACTAATATTCCATCATATAACCATGGTTGCAGCTCCTTCTTTGCATCTAGCTAAGCCTGTAGAAGAAAGATCCCAATTTAGTTGTCACTTCATCTTTGCTAGAAATCCTCCTATTCCTAGCTCTGCTGCATAACCAGAGGTGATGAGGCTATTTCAGACCATCTGCTTAAACTGATAAACTAACAAGGTTATTGTAGCTAAAGAGTAGCGGATTGCTTGCAGACAGTGTTCTGTCTTGCCACATCATTCAGGGGGTTAAATTCTGATTCAAAAATGATAAGCAGTGGAAAAAGGAATATAGTGACCCCTGTTCTGTCAGCACTGATGGATACAGAGAAATGTATGAAAAATATACAGGCTATGACCTGAGACCAGTAGCCTTAGTACCACTTTGCAGTGCAGAAACGTAGATATGTCTTGCTGGAGGTCAAGAAGGATGTGTGCTGCAGAGACTGTAAGAAATGTCTTCTTGTTTACTCCCTTCTGATAAATATATCAGATTTAAGTGGGTTGAGGATTACAAATAGGAGGCCGTGAAGAATTTCCTTGCATTTTTAAAGATTATCCCTATATATAAGCTATCATGGGTAACACTTGCCAAGTTTTGAATGTTTGCAGACAGAGGTTAGAGTTTTTATCTGGGATTTCTAGCAATACTAAGGAATAAAGAGAGACCTCTGTCTGTCTAAGTGATGTAGAAGGAATGAATAAAATCTGAGTAAAACACATAAGCTTCCATTATCAAAATTGGGTTTAATTACACAGCATTTCAATTAAAAGGGAATGCTTGAAGCCTTTCACATATTCTTAGCTCCTATAGGTCTGTTTTTTTTGTTCTTCCTGCATTTCCCATCATAATTTTCCAATACTTGGCTCTCAATTGTAGAAAGAAGAGTCAAGATTCATTTTAAATTCTAGTTTTGCAGGGTGACATGAGAGAGGGCAGAATTTGACCTGAATGAGAAAATACTCATAAAAATGTAGCTTAACATTTGTATTATGATTGCTTTAGTAAAACATTGTGTTACAGTGCATTGAAGTTGCTTTAAAAATGTTTTTATGTTGAAAGACAAATTTATGTTTGTTGCTAATGCCCCTTGACAAGGTGTGTATTCCTAAGTGTGCAATGTCTGCAGAGCAAGTTTTGAAGAATTGTAAGTGGGAGATGTTTACACTTCAGTTTTTATTGGGAAAGTACAAAACCAAGGCTATTCATACAAAGCTTTCCCTTTTATAACTCTATGTGACATGTGTAATTTCCCTGCTGTATTCCATGTTGGATGAATTGGGAAGAATAAGATGGGGCAAAGCCAGGAAAAACTACGCTTCTAGGGAATGTTTCTATTATGAGCAAAGATCAGTGTTTTGCTGCTGGCAGCATTGCATTTCACTTCCTTCTGATTGTTTTTTTTTGTGCTTCAGATTTAGCAACATACTTCGGATGAATGTTTCATTTCATTTTTGGAGTGAGAAGAAACATAAGGGAAAGGGAAAAGATCCTTCTCACCTTTTCTCTCTCACCTGCTCAGTGCACTCACAAATTTACCTCGTAGTATATTTTTCTAGTCCTTCAAATTTGCAGCAGCACTGTGAGCTTTTTTATCATTTAAAACTATCCTTTGCTGCTGCCTCTGGCACCAGGAGCACCGTCCTTTATGGCACTTAGCAAGCTGAAATAAAACTGGCATTTTAGTCAGTGATCAGCTTCACTTTTTTTCAGATCCCTGCAGCTGCCCTATAAACTAGTCAGGTGTTACAGTACCGATTCACATCATTGTCTAGTAATGATGCTAAAAAACCAACATAACAACTTTCTCTTCCTGTGGTCTCACTTGCTAATTTCTCTTGTACCCCTGTACTTTCCTGCTTCAGTGCTTATAGTGCAAAAGTACTTCACATTGTTAGTTCTGGAAATTGCATTCAAAGAGCAGGAAATTCTTTGTTTATGCATTAATAAGCACTGGATAACAATGAAATTGGCAAATCTTCTAAAAATCTCACTGATAAAAATAATGACGTAATTTTAAAAAAAATTTATGGAATAAATGGAGGAAATGATCAGTGACATAGATAAATACTGGTGTTTATTGAAGTGCTTTATTCATTCCTTATGCAAATATATATATATGTATCTATATATGTGCAAACAAATACTATCTATGTACGTGCCAGAGTATGTTTTGTACAGGTATTTGAGGTGAGTGCCTAACAAGAGGCTCATAAACAGACATTCAGGGAGCACAAAAGCTCTGCAAGGTTATGTAATACTTCCTTTACATATTCTCTCTCTTTCCGGATTTTTTTCAACCCAGGGAATTATCTGATTGCTTGCCTATTGATAAAGCATCCCTCGACCAGTTTTTGAGATCTCTTAAGACCTATCTTCTAAGCATGGTCTAATCTGGATCTTATGCAAAAATGAAGATTTTTTTTTTTTCAAAGCTTCTTAATCATCTTATGCTTGCATCAGGCTCAGTTATGCACTGTGAACATACCACTGGGTTTTGGCTGACCTTGGACTTCTAGCAAATAAGCACTCTGGTGTTTGAACCTTGAGACTTAACAGTATGCACTTAGGAAATACACAAAGAACTGTTCCAGTAATTCTTACTTCTCTGTATTATGTTTCTCAACTTGTGTAAAAAATAATTGTGTTCTGACTTGTTTCATTGTTTGAAGATGGGACTGGTTATAGGCCTGTTTTACAGCTTGGACTTTCAACCCCTTCATCTGGTTTGGGACTCTGAATCAAGATTTGTGTAATGTAATAAGCCTGCAGTTCTGTGCATGCGGTGGTTGGTTTTGTTCCTTGCTGAATTTCTGATGTTCTGTGAGGTTACTCAAATGGTCTAAAATTGCAAAAATGTATGAAAACTTTACACTGACCAAGTGTATCACAAAGTAATATGTGGGTGTCCTTTATCATGACAAGAAAAAAGCAGAGTTCTTCATGCATCATGTTTCTGCCATATACTTTTGTTGCATTAATGCTTTTACATTTTGATGCGCCAAACGTAAAATTTCAGCCCTTCATGCTGCACCTTGCTGCCAGCATTTTCTTATGGAAAGACTTTTCAGCCTGTTGTCATTTGATTGCTTTGATGAGAAAGGCCTTACAATGCCTTTGAAGGTAGGTGGAAATAACTGATGTACGGTAATGACAGTTCTTCACTCAGTAATCAACAAATACGCTGTTCTTGAATGGCAAATTTATCTTAGCTGCTAAAAACTTGTTTCAGAAAGAACTTGTGACTGTTTGTTACCACTACCCTTCCATTTTGATTCTGAGGAGAAATAATTTGCTCTATTTTGATGCAAAATCTTTCATGCTCTTAAGTTTTGCATTGCAGAGAGTGAATATAGTGAATAATGCAGCTTGACCCAGACTGTGAAGAGCAGTCTGATATTGCTTTACTAGCCAGCAGCCCATGATCATAATCTCTGTGTTTCTTTGGTCCTCTTTGAATTACCTGTAGGTAGAGTAAAAATCAGGAGTTTACTTCTATTTTTTTTAAGATTAAGGAAAATTTAAATCCATACTCAAGCAAACAAACTCAGGAAGTGGTTTAACAATGAAAGGAATGCTCTTATTTTGTTTGCACATCACATTTCTTTATTTACTTGCAGTCCTTGTATTTCTGAAGGCTATACCTATGCTTTCTTATTTTCTAATTCATTGTTCTAAGTGTTTAGAATATTTTTGTCATTTAAGACTTTCCCTACTCCCCAAAAAGCGCATCTGTAAATACAGCAGGGAAGCCCACTCTTTTGTGTCCTTCTTTAACCCTGCATTCTTCGTTTTGTAGCAAGCAGTTGCTGGAATTTGGATAGAAGGTGGCACATAAACACAGTAGGAATATTTACTTTGTTATTAACATGTGATTTGGGAAATATTTTTAGGATGAATTCAATGTCCATTATATGCATCAAAGAGTGTTTCCAGCAAAATCTGTGATGGACATCACGGGTGTTTCTCAGAAACCCTCTAGATTTTTATTGTCATTATATAGAAGCAGGAGGTGAAAACAGGACAATTGTATCGGTCCATTTTATGTTAGTCTTTGAAAATGAGATAATGGGTAAGAAGAAGGTGGCAGCAGAACTAGTTCAGATCGAAGATTTATCTTCTCTGACTCCAAAAATAGCCAAGACTTGAGGTGTAAGAAAGAATGCAAACTTTTGGAATTGATTTTCTTTTAACAAAATGTGAACAAAATGTGCTTCTCTAAGTTTCTGTTGATGTTACTTTATTTTACCAATAATGGGAGGAACATCTTTTCAGATTTGAAATAAAAGCAAAAAGCTTATTTTTTAAAAAATGCTTTGTATTAATTAACAAATAATAGCAACCCTTTGTCTCCATTTGTTGCCTATTTTGCCTATAACTTCCTGAAGGGAGCTTGTAATGAGCTGGGGGTCGGCCTCTTCTCTCGTGTCATTAGTGATAGGACCAGGGGGAATGGCTTCAAGCTACGGCAGGGGAGATTCAGGCTGGATATGAGGAAGTATTACATTTCAGAAAGGGTGGTCAGGCACTGGAACGGACTGCCCAGGGAGGTGGTGGAGTCACCGACCCTGGGGGTGTTCAAGGAAAGGCTGGATGTTGTGTTGAGGGACATGGTTTAGTAGGAGCTATTGGGAATAGGTGAACGGTTGGACTGGATGATCTTTTAGGTCTCTTCTAACCTTGGTGATTCTATGATTCTATGATTCTATTTAACATAATGCTTAACACAGGACATTGAATGGTGCAGTCTTGGCCGACCTACCAGTACAGAGTGATTCAGTAATGACATGGGCAGTTCACTTCATCAAATACAGTCCTAGCAGCAGAGGTAGCAAAAGCAAGAAGCTGGTCATTACGTGACATTAAATAACCTGTGCATTTGAATGTATATCAGCAGTTCATTTAGGAAGGATGTTCTAGGAAGTATTGATGATCATTCATCCAGGCCTGATGCCTTATTGCTTCTCCAAGAATTGAAAAGACAGGTTTTTCCCAGTTAACTTGCCCTTTGAATGAACTTTGGTAAAATTGTTGCCAGCTATCACATAGGGCTGTGAAGAACGGAGCACAGAATTTACATGACAAAAGTAGTGATTTGAAGTAGACTTCTTAAACACTGTCTTGCTGCCAAGAAATTAAGAAACTTGTTGCCTAATTTTAGAGTTATTACTAAGACTATGTGCAAATATTGAGGGGAATTCTCTGATCTCTGCTGCATACTGGCTGTAAATACAGTCTTTAGCTAATTGCTTTTGGAATACTAGCAGTCTTTAAAACTCAAAAAAACATATGGTACTGAAAATTAAAAGTAATTCTTGTTAGCAAATGAGGATGGTATACTGTTTTCTTGTGGGCTTTTTATTTTGTTTAATGCAACAGTATGAATCCATTTATTCTGGGTGTTTTCCAAAGTGCTTCTTAAACTTCAGGTAATTGGAGTATTTACAGGTATGTCATGAGACTCAGATTTTACACATTTAGGTAAGAGTATGTATCATTTGGCAGGAGCATAGCTCATAAGGTGAGATTTGAGCTTTTCTTCACAAAGAATGTGAACAATTATTTTGTTACATCTCCAAGAAAATCAGAGTAACAATTTGATATTTCACAATGAGTCATTTGTAGTTTTTCTTGTTTTGGGATTTTTACTGTTTTTTGTTTTCATGATCTGAAGACAAGTACTGTTTAGGCAGTGCTGAGTGTACAACTACCTGGTGACCTATGTTCTATCCAGTTAGAAATTAATAGAACCTTGGTATTTATTTATTACATATATTACAAATATTAAAGCTGCATTTTTTTTGGAAACTAATAAAGAAAACTAAAAATTTAATGAAAGGTCGGATATTATATGAGTCGTAGAGAAAATGTAAGAGTGATCGTATGAGGAATCATGCAAGAAAACGTAAGAATGAGAAACTTCTTCCCTTTCTGTCATTTTGGTATCTGATCTTGATCTCTGTTTGAAATGTGTAAAGCCTCAAAATATTTTATTGTTGCTATTACAGGACAAGAAGGCTTATCTGGATGTTATTCACACCTATATGGAAGTGCATGGAACTGTTCATGGGACAAGCACGATTTATATTCCTGGCTATGTAAAAAACCATGGTATACTCAGTGGGCGGGATCTGCAGTTTCTACTGAGAGAAACCAAGGTAAGTTTGTCAAGGAGAAATAGCAAAAATAGGTAAAGACAGACAGTATCTCTGCATCACGTACATGAAGTACAGTGCACTTCACCTCCTGCAACTGTGCTCCTAATTTTAAAGTACTGGAAGTATAAATGATCCAATAAAAAAGAGATTTAATTTTCTTCCATATGCTAATAACACATTTGTGATTGTGCCCGTGTTTTTTGGATTGACAGCTATTACTAGAAAATTGGGACAATCTAGGGGATACATTTAACAAGGAGCTTGAAAAACGTGGCTAAATTCATGTTTCATTTTCCCAAATGTTGTATTCAGCTCAAAGAGATTATCAGCTGAGAAAATACTTTGTTTTAGATCCATAATGTGAAAGTTAAGCGTTATATGAAAGCTGTACAACGGGAATGCTTGCTCTGCCCTACCAATGACTTTAACATGAAGTTGACCCCATTCTGTAGGGAGGAAAAGAATAAAGGCAAGTCCCTCATTCTACATTCATTTCCTTCTCTCTGCTCCAGTTGTGCGGAGACAAGAGAGAGCAGAAGAGTGTGCTTTTTGTGGTATGCTTTGCCTGTGGCTTCATAGTCGAGGGAGGTCAAGATAAAGGACAATGTATACACTTAAATAAAAAGCTTTTGTCCCTGCAATTGGAATGCTATTGGATTTTCATTGCCATTCCCATAATCCTTGTGGAACGTTTTACATCACTGAGATGCTTAGTATATTACATTTAAATAGAATGTTTAGCTTTTGGTTGGTGAAATAAATGGGGTTGTGTGTTTAAAGTTAGCAAAATATATAGAACTTAATCTCCACTGTTGATGGTTTCTTGCTGTGCACTTCCACAGAAGAATCTATTAAAAAAGAAAAGCAAAAGCATTTTCCAGTCTTCCCACATAACAGTAGAGAACTCCTTTTGAATGCTGGGGGAAATGATGGTAATTTGACATCTCTGCGTGACAACTGTTGGCAAATTATGACATTTTAAAGGCAACCACTGGGTGCATGTACTTCATACATACAGATACACATAATATTGCAGATTAAAAAGTCAACATTTACATTCATGACAGATAATATTGAGATTACACAACTTTCACCCTCGTGGAGTATGAAATCACTGTATTAACCACAATTACTAATGTGGGTGGAATTTTGACATTGTAATAACCCCAAGCACAAACAATGACTTCTTGTGGAAAAACAAATACATTCTATTGAGTGGAATAGTAAACTAAATTAATGAGTTTCCTGCAGAATTACTGGTGTCCTTATAATTAAAAAAAAAAAAAAAAATTCATAATACAAGTTATGTTTGAGTAAGTCTTCATCTCTAATTCATTATCAGCTGACTTAAATGTATTATACTAAAAAATGTTATTTTTGTTATTAACTGGGATAACTCCTCCAGTTAGTGGTTATATTTGTTATGTGCTAAGATGCAACATAAAGATATAATTTAGGACAAATTCAAAATAATGTGTGTTTTACAGTTAAGCACAGGCTTTTATGATTGGAAGTAGCAAGTCTAGTTTTACTCCATACTTTGACTAGTGAGATCCAATGGAGGATACTAGCTTATGGAGGCAAGGTACTCCTGTGATCAGCAAGTTGTTTATTTCTCACAAACTGAATTTCTGTGAGAAGTGTGGATTCAATCTCTACTCTTTTCAGAGTCCTACAGGCACTTGATTTTCTATGCTGTTGTGCATTGTCGGTTTGCTTTTCTCCTAACACTGAGGAATATCCTTTCAAAATGTTCTGCATTCTTTCTATCAGATGGCCAAGACGCACACTGATGTGGTTCAGAAAAATTAAAAGATGTAACCAGGCCAACAAACCTCTGGCCTGATAATACGCAGTTAGGAGTCTATCCAATTCTCCTAATACTTAGTTTGTTTTATTGTCAGACAAATCAGAGTGCAGTGTAGTTCTGATAATGAAAAGAAATACGTCTTACTGCACCATTAATTTTGGTTATTACCCCTGTATAATTCTTGATCCAATATATCTAGCTCAAGATAAAAACAGCGGCATCTGATACTGGAAGTGGAAGCTGAGAATTATCATCTAATCGAATTGCACTTTTTCAGTCAAACCTGTTTGATTTTGTATTTGGGGTTTTATTTTAGTTTTTGCTAACTTGTTTAGCATCTCATCGGTTCCATGGCTTTTCTGCTTTAGCATACGGTTGATTCTTAGTGTTAATCTACATGCTTGATCTAAGTCGTCTTGTTGCCTGTACATTCACAGTTTCTGATTCTGATCTCCTTTGAGACAACATTTTAACATAGCCTAGTATAAAGCACCATTCACCTGTCTCCATTGGCCATCTGCTACATCTGTGAATTCATCATGTTGATATCAATAGTTCCTGGCATTGAATTGCTAGCGTCAGTGCGGGGTTTTCACAGAAATCAAGCTGACTTGAAAGGGAGCATTGTGCCCTAAGAAGCTTCCTGTGAGTGTGCACACGCATCCAGTGATGTCCAAGGACACTTTTTAATCATAATCACTTTAATTACCAGGCAACGTGACCAGGCCCCATAATGAATTTAGTTAAGGTTTTTGTCACTGAACAATCAGCGTGCTAAAAATCCATGAACAACAGGAGCTGTACCTCACTGGTGGCGACATGTGTGCGTGCAGAACTCACTTGAGCCATCTAGCCTGCTGCTCACTGTCTCTAAGCAACAAACTTTCCTTTTAAGCTTCCAAAAACTGTTTGATTTCTCTTTCTAAACATATACTTCACGATCCAAAGGCAAAGATTCTTTCATCGTATATGATTTCAACATTGTGGTAGCACATTTTTGTCAGGTCAGTTTGCAAATGATCTAGTTTTAGAAAGCCAGAGTTAAATAATACTTCAACAAGTCACCCAACTGCAGCGACCCACACCTGTCAGCTTACTTTTCAGCACTTTATTTTGCCCTTAAAAAGAAAATTCCAACGGTAACAGCACAGACAAGGCTTTTGTTCATATTTGGTACTTGGTATAGGACACAGTTATTCTCAAAAGCATGCAGCTGCCATTTTCTCCTAGTGTACATCACAAAGCAATACATTTCAGCATAAGTGTGCTTCACAAGCAGGAGGTGCTACTCAACATCCATCTTGACTAGTTCAGCTGTGTGGTGTATGACAAGCTGCAGAGATGCAGCAATTCCTGAGAAGATATGGAGCCATTCAGCACCTCAGATCAACAGAAGGAGGCAAGATGCAGCCTCCATGCCAACTCTTCTGCTCACAGCTGGGCTGGCACCAGGCTGTCCTGAGAGAACCAGCACTGAGATTTTGAGAAACACTCCTCCTTTTGAGAAAGTTTCAGATGCAACTTTGTGCTCCCTGTTCTTGCAAATTTTTGAGGGAACCCAAATTCTTCTACTAAACGGTCATCTATGCTTTCGGAATGGCGATTAATGAAAGTAGTGCACCTCCCCTACAAAGACAGGGTGAGGGAGCTGGGCTTGTTCAGCTTGGAGAAAAGAAGGCTGCGGGGTGACCTCATTGCAGCCTTTCGATACCTAAAGGGAGCCAACAAACAGGAGGGGAATCAACTCTTTGAAAGGGTTGATAACTGCAGGATAAGGGGAAATGGCTTTAAGTTGAGGGAGGGGAGATTTAGGTTGGATGTCAGGGGAAGTTCTTTACAGAGAGGGTGGTGAGGTGCTGGAACAGCTGCCCAGAGAGGCTGTGGATGCCCCATCCCTGGAGGTGTTCAAGGCCAGATTGGATGGGGCCCTGAGCAGCCTGGTCTGGTATTAAATGGGGAGGTTGGTGGCCCTGCATGTGGCAGGGGGTTGGAGATTCATGATCCTTGAGGTCCCTTCCAACCCTGGCCATTGTGTGATTCTGTGATAAGCATGAATAAGAAAATGAACTTCAACTTTTTTTGATATTGCCTTTTATGAAGTAATATACTTTTCACTTCCAGACTCATCAAAATACACCTGAATAGCCATTTAAAAAGCGAATATGTTGTGAAGATATTTCAATCACAGAATTTTCAGAAGGCATTTTGTATTAATGAGGAAAATGTATTGAGATAGTAAACTACGGATTTTGCTGTACTTCTCTTTCCATAGTTTAGAAGAGAATATACAAAATAGTCCAGTAAATAGGCACACAAAAGCAACAATAAACTACCAGCCCAACAGACTCAATGAGATGAAGTGCACCGATGCTAGGAGGGGAAGAAGAAAAGAGAAACACGAAACACTCCTGTTCATGGAACTGCAGCACTTCTGAAATATGAAATATTTCTGTTCCCCTGTTCAGGATTATATGGTTAAAATATTCAGCCCTAGCTTTATACTTAGGGCTATAATTTAGATTATTTATTCAAGTACTCATTTTAATAATGGCCCAATATGTTGGTGTAAATTCCATGGGTAAATTGCTTAGTGTTAACTGAAAGTCACTGATTTCAAACAATGCATAACTTTAAATTTGCTTGTCATGGCAGTGGTTGCAAAGTACTTGTCATGTCAGATATCATGCCAGAGAAGTCTCCATTTAGCTACTGCACCATGACAGACATGCTGACGTTATGATCAGAGAAGTGGTGTTTTGGGTGCCGTGATGCTCACTGGCCAGCTCAAGAGCCTGAAATTCTGTAGCAGGAGTTCATTTCTCTGCAAAGGCAGAAAAGGTTTCTGAAGAGCCTACCTTATGATAAACCAAAGTATTCCTGTAAAGGTTTCAACACCTGTGTGTTTAAGTTGTGCAAGTGAGATTGCAGATCTGAATCCCCGTCTTTGATTGTGCAGACCTGCAGGTGCACATGGGTACCAGACCTTGCAAACAAGGAAGTGGTTTAAAAAAAGGAAACAAAAAAAAATGATGCTAATAATCATTTTACATCTGTGTTTATCTTGCTGTTATCTCCTGTAGATATACTTTTATACTGTAAACTCCTCCTGGCAATCTTCTCGTTACATATGGTATAAGCATACACCGCCTACTGTGGCACGTGCCCACTTAAAGAAATGTGTGAATAATGATGGTGTGGCTTTCAAAAACATTTTGAAGTTGAGAAAAATGCTCACATACAGAATGAAATGCTTTCAAGCACTAACTTACCAGTGATGGATAAGGGGATTCTACTTTGCATAGCAGTTTTGCTCCAGCTAGCGAGTCAAGATCAAGGCCGGCCTTCCAGGGTGTGTGCCCGCAGTCACGCTGCCTGTACACTCAAATGTGAAGCCTTTCATTATGGAGCTGCAGCCACAGGGTGAAGCAGTCGGGTCTGCACAGGCCCAGCGTGTGGGAAGACAGCCGTAGTCAGGAGCCCTATGTGGAGGCAACAGTGTTGTTTTATGTCACAAACGTGTAGAAATATAGTCTGTCCTAAATCTCTGTTGTTTTGTGGGTGAAAGCCTTCTCTTCCATACAGTCTTTATCTCACACTAAGCAAGGAACATCAGAAAGGCTAGTTTCCAGCAGCAGGGTGTAGATTCACTTTGGGGATCTGAGCTGAGCTAATGAAGATGATGTGAGGGAAAGTGCTGAAAGAGCTAGGGGGGCTGAAAGGAGGAGCTGGGGGCTGCAGGCAAGAATGAGCCGGGCTGCAGTGTGAGGCCCTGAGCCAGCAGGCAACGCACACCAGGCCACCATTCTGGCCTTATGGGAGCTAGAGGAACACCTTCCTTTATTTTTTCAAAGGTATGGTGCTGCTTAGAAGTAAGGCTTGAAAATTGATATGAAACAGGTGGTAGGCTATTTATTATAGATTAAGTGTTGACTGTGTGCTCTGTGCTGTCAAAACATAAAAACATGTTTCTTTCCCCATGGAGCTTCCTCCTAAGTAAACGGACCAGTCAGACACAAAACTGTTCAACAGTGCACAGCAGCAGCTTATTAAAAAAGTGAAAAATGAAACAAACCTGCATTCTCTACATAACAGGCAAACACAGGATCGTAGGAGAATTGATGCTTCAGATGGTTCTAATTGCTGGTTCTCAGCTGGTTTTTTGCCTAAGCTAAGGAGTAGTTTTACAAAAAGCCAAACATCCTGTGTGCAGATTGTATGACATAGTTTCACATCTAATTTAGTATTTTCAAAAGATTTCCTTCCTTTAAATTAAACCTCTTTTGATGTGAAATTTAGTATTTTTTTTTCCTTTTTTTTAATTGTAAGATAATATATCTTATACCACATATAAAGCTCAAATTTATACAATCCAGCTTTGGTGGAAATAGTTGTTCAGATCTTTTTTTATCAGCTACTGGAGCATTTCCTGTAAGATTTCTCAGCAAGATGGCTGAGAAGCGTTGTGCAAGTGGATGACTTTTTTTAACCTGAAGAACCAACATTCAGCTCCATGCTGTGAAAATCGTGCGTTCTCAAACAAGGTGAGGTTAGCCTTCTTTTTGGATGGCCAACCTAGAAAAATACTGTTGTCATGGGTCAGAGAGGGCCAATGCTGCAATACCTGTGCACAGCACTACTGACTACAGGTCTGTGTATCGAGGTAAGGTTAGCTCCTAGAATGTGAGTCTGCCGTTCATTTCCATGCTGCAGAAAACAAAGTAGAAAAGTATCATTGGAATTCCTTGAATGCATGGTTCTGATCACAATTCTAATACATGAATTCCAGTATTCTAACAGTTACAAAGATTCCCTTTCATTCTGAAAAAATGAGTAGCTATATAAACACATATGTATGTACATAAGGTTGCCAAGCATTGCTGAGACGTTGCTGTTATCATCAGAGCTTTTCATTCTCCCATTATACTTTCAAATAAAATCATTTAATTCAGGAATTATGCTAGGCCAAGAAAGGGATCAAGATACAAGTAAATGCTTGCAACTCTGACAAAATACTAGATTTCTTCACATTGAGGAAAAACGCTGCTTTTTCTAGAGCACCTGTCATCTCAGCTGACAATAAGAATAGCTTTGTGGTGAAGCTGACTATAGGAATAGCTTTGCGATGCAGTTTACCTCCTGCAGTGTACCTTGGGGCGTTGAATCCATTTAATCCTATGCAAACCTCTGCTGACTAGTGTCTTCAGTTGATGTTTGCTGCCACCTACCGTTTTAATTAGACTCAACCGGCTTGCCAGGATAGTGTTCATGTTCAGCAAGTTAGCTGGTGTGTGTGAGAGAGAAAACAGTACTATGGCTGTTCAGTGCGGTTGCTGCATTAAAACTTGTACGTGCTAGGCAGCTCAGGAGTTTCATTTGAATTTCGATCAAATCACCAAATGATTTCGCCCTCCCTCCCCCCCAAAAAAAAAAAAAAAAAAAAAATTGAAAGGGTCTGTTGTTCCCTCAGCTACATGAAAAGCCATCTTAGTTCATTACAGAAGATTATTGTCAAATGTGTTTGACAGGACATTCCATTACTGCTTGAGTATGAGGGAGTGAGCTGCTGAATCACATTTTCTTCTTAGTGTTTTTTGCAGGCTTGTATGTTTTGAGTGTGTGATTGTTTATTTTGTGTTAGGCCTTAGTTTTCAATTTCTGTAAAGAACAAACATTAAGACAGACCTTCTTTTCTGCTTTTCAGTTGTTTGTTGGTCTTGGATTTCCCTATGAAGGGCCTGCTCCTTTAGAGGCTATTGCTAATGGTTGTGCTTTTCTGAACTTAAGATTTAATCCACCAAAAAGTAGCAAAAACACAGAATTTTTTAAAGGCAAGCCAACACTCCGAGAGGTAAGCTTTGTTAATGTTGATTGGTTCTTTATTGAAAATGAGTGTGGATTTCTTTTTAGTAGCACAATATAGGAGAAGTTGCATAAATGCTCACAGTTTACTGCAAGACATGTACAACTGTCATTTTCGTTAGCCATCAGTGGGATTAGCAATCCTTATTCACATACTGTTAAGCTTTACCTTTGTGTCTGTGTGTATGTTCTGCTAATTCTTATTCACAGACCATAAACTAAACTGTATTTTTACAGCTGATGTTCTGACCTGGAACAGGTAGTATATGATGTGTTGCTGGAAAGCATTTTTATTTTGTGGAAGAAACATATTATTGTGTTCTTCACAGGAACTAAATAAATGTCTTAATGCTTAGAACAGCTTTTGTAGGATTGTTGTATATGTTTTTGTATTTATTTTTTTCTCAGGAAAAAAATCTATTCAAGCACTGTTGAGCACTGCTATTAATGGTAACAACACATTCTATTTGTAGTTGAACACAGAATGAATTTGGAGAACTGACTATTTGAGATAAAAGGAAAACTATACCTCAAGCTTACAAAACAGCCAGGGTGTCTAGCCTCTGTTAAGAGAAGAACAAGGCTAAGCAAGCCAGCCAGCTATGGCACAAGCCTACAACACCTGCAAGCATTTAGTAGTCAGGTAGCCTTTTCTGATATCAAGTCTTTTGCTTGTGACCATAACTTCGTCATAGATGTGTATAGGTATTTCCTTTACATATTATCTGAAGGAATGCTTAGGTGATGAGAAGCTTGCACAGCAGTATCTCCTAACTGATGCTGTGTTTTGGCTTTATAAACTGTGTACTGAGCAGTGCCAGCAAGCTGAGGGGCAAAAGACAGTTTCCTATTTACAGCCATGAACAGAAGTTGATTATAAGTTTGCGTGCCAGGGCTGTAGGTACCTTTCAGCTCTTCATACCTCAGCCCTTCCCACAGTTTGCATTGCTACCACCAAAGGAGATAGCAGTAATAAAAAGAAGGCTATTTGAACCTTCTCCTTGGACTTGGCACCTCTCAGAGCTTTCCTTCTGAGTTCCTCACCTGTCTCTCTAAAAGCTGTTCTGTGCCCAAACACTAAAACTAATCAGGCTGCTTGTGACCCACCTAACTCTAGTAGGAGTTTTAGTGCATGGAATGCTCTGCTAAATCCTGCTGACATCTGTCAGCTGTAACAGGAATACTGTGCACTTGACCTGCACAGAAGAATAATCCCTACTGACAGCTTCAGTACAAAACAATACCGTGAGCGTTCTTCACCAGTGTTACTCCATTTGTGTGCTCAGTTGATCTATCATAAAAGTAACCTTTGCTGTAACTAGTTTCCACAACTGCATTTAGATCCACTTATCTTGGTGCTGATTTCTTGAGTTTGAAAAAGTTCTGCCATCCGTCTACCAGTTTTTTCAAGTATTAACAACAAACATTTGTGTCATTCTGAAAATTAATTGATTATCCACTGACCAATTTGAAAATTAACTCTATATTTTCTACAGTAAAGTAACCATTGCAAATTGCTATTTCTCATGTTCTAAGTTCATGTTTGTTTGCAGCGGATCTGGGGTGGGCAGTTACCTGCTTCCACTCTACCAGGTAAGAGAAACAGGAAGGAAAAAAAAAACAACAAAGAAATTCACCTTCCAACAGCTTCTTTGGTACCAGTATTTGTACCGGCAGCTCCTCTCCATTTCTCTTCCTTGCAAAAAAAAGAAAAAGAGAGCACTGTATGCTAAGTAAGTCTAGTTGAAATGCGTTTGATGGGTGTGGTTTCTTTCCCCACAGAAATAATCTTCTGCTTTTAGGGAGCAAAAGGACTTCAAATTAGAAATTAATTTTGAATCTACTTAGAAGTATTCTAATAAGTCGTAATTATAGCCAGATGAATATCTAAAATATCAAGCCTCAGCTAATTAAAGCATTTCAGTATTAGAAATAGTTCTAATTTTTTGTGAGTACAGGTGCAGAATGCGTGCTGCAATAGGAACACATTGATGGTTATTCTCAATACTCAAACAGTTACTAACCTAGGAAGTACAGTTGTTCATCTTCCAAATCTGGCCTGGCTGTAACATTGTTCTCTGCCTACTGAGATGATCGAAGAAGAGTGGTCTAGTGCCTGACTCCTAAGGCTTTGTGGAATTTGAAGGACTGCCTATGCTCGTATTTTTAAAAGCACAGTTGAAAATTTTTTTGTTGGAACTAAAAGTAATAGAAATGCAGCTTCTGCAGTGTAAAGTTCAAACAGAAGTGTCTTAGGAACTCAGGCAGTTGAGTAGCTCCTTGTGTTTAGTTGAGAAAGAGAGCAAGGACGGTGAAAGCTGTCACAAAATTCACTTGCAGTGCCATCCTGCTAGCTGAGGAATCTAACAAGCCATCTCTGGGATCACTTTTCTTGGATATCTACTGGAATATTTATTGAAATTGCTTTCTGACCAAGGGTTGAGCAAAATAACAGTTAACACTCTCGAGGTCAAATGATGCTTGTAGTAAAAGTAGCAACAGAAATAGCAGTCATAATTTATCCTGAGTTATAGAAATGATCTTTTATACCCTTCTGCTCATAGAAGCTTGGAACTGTTTGAAATTTGGAGAGACAGGGCAAGGGTGCCAGCTCTGGCAGCCAGTCACACGGGTCCAACCTGGGCTGGCAGCAGTGGCAAGCTGTGACAGCTGGCACTGCTCTGTGAAGGAGCTGTGCCCAGCACAGAGGGCAGACTGGGTCGCACGAACAGGAATTAATGTAAGCAGCAATTATTCTGCAATGTTAGATGTTGTGAGAAGCAAAGCCACAAGTGGAAGTGTACAAATGTTGCTTATGAGTTGCATTGTTATCAGATCTTCACTTTTCCTACTCAATTCACTCTCTGAATTTAAACATGGAGAATCTGAAAGAGAGCTCAGAAGGAATGAAATTGACTGTTCAGTTGTAGCTGAGTTCTTGCATTCTACTAGTGTATTTTATTCACCAAACCTGGTGAGGAGAGTGAGGGGAAAGCAATCCTAACGCCGTCATTTTTAATGACGCCATTTCTTCCTTGCAGCTAACATCTCAGCATCCCTATGCTGAAGTTTACATTGGGAAGCCCCACGTTTGGACTGTAGACATCCATGATCTTTCTGAAGTGGAGAAGGCTGTGAAATCAATTTTGAATCAAAAGGTGAGAAACGTATTCTCAATTTTATATCAACACTTGAGAGTATATCATGGAACGTCAGTAGACTGCCTCATAATGTCAGTTTAATTACTTCATAGGTTATTGGGGGAAAATGCTGTCATTCTATCCCTGTTGTATTTGATAATCATGATTTAGGATGGGAAAGTCAGGATCTTACCTGAATGAAACAAATGTGAGATGAAACTCGCATTTCTATACAAATTCATTGTAAATCATAAAGCAGTATATATGTTGTGCGTTCACTGAGGCTTCCTTGCTGTTCATAGAGCATTGCAGGCTGTCCAGTACCAGCTTAACTCTTTTGGCTCATGCAATGGTCTTAACATAACTAACCCTGAAATGCCTGGACACTTATGGAGTGGCATTCTAGGAGGGCACTTTATGAAGAAAATAAAGGGGAAAAAAACTGAAGATGTTTTTGAAAGTATCACATCCTTTTTTGTCTCAATGCTTTGTTTTTCACTTCAATTCCAGGACTGAAAGTAGCATCCAGCAGGGTCTCAGGCTAGTTTTGTATCTCTTACTTTGCAATAAGCCTTGAAATTTTAGTATTTGGCATATCCTTAAAGATGATCATTGAGCAACTTTTATAGCCTTTGCAAAGGAGAAGAAATCAGCTTAAACTATTGATGACTTTGTCAAATTGGGATTTGTTAATACTTGCTTCTCTTATATGGTCTTTGGAATACAAACAGCTACCGCAGTGCACTGCAATGCTCATTTGAACAAAAGCACATCTAACCCAATGCACTGTGTTTCAACAGATTGACCCTTATTTGCCCTATGAATTTACCTGCGAGGGAATGCTTCAGAGGATGAATGCATTTATTGAAAGACAGGTATGAGCTTTTATTGTGGGTGAATCTTTTGGTTTGCATTGGGAAGGGGGGACCCTCGCAATTCTACAGCCTCCTAATGTTGTTGCTGTGGAGGTGGAAACTGTGCAGCCCTTGCTAGACAATTGCTTGCTCATATGAGGTTCCCATGGGGTTCACCTGGATGCAAACATGGATACCTGTGCATTGGCTTGAAAAGCTCCCATGTGATACTGTACCAGTGGGATTTTTGTGCATGCAGAGGCTGTCGAGCAGTGAAGGCAAAGTGCTGACTACCAGAATATTCACTCTGCTTTTCTGGTTCATCTGTGAATGCCTGATTTACCGTATATCTTTGCAAAAGTGGATATACTTGTTTGTGTTTCATAAGCTAAAGGAGAGGTTTTTTTTAACTATTATGTATACGTGTCTATAGACAGATATCTATGTGAAGAACCTTCTTCTGCTAACTTATTGAAGTAGAAAAGCAAAGTAATTTTTCAGCATCAATGTGACTTCTTTTACAGCTGGCATTCTCAGTGTGTACACATACAAAAAAAGCCTTTGAACCACAAAGAATAAATGCAGAGATGCTTTTGCAGTAGAACTACACTTAGGCTAAAACCTCTTGGAAGTTTTTTCAAATATTCAGTTGGTTTGGGAATCTGTAACTTAAAGGACTTTTGCATTACTGCATGCTGAGATTAGCAAAAGGTATTGAGTTGGAATAATAAACTGGACAGAATTGCATTAGATCCTGATTTCTAGAAACTGAATGTGTGCTTGGACTTCTGCCCAATGCCAGATCTGCTGCAAAGGCCAACATCTTGCCTTTTGTTCTGCCTGCTGCAGAAGAGTGATAAGAGTAACGTATATCTCTGTTAAGCCAATTAACTTCTGGAATTTCTTTCAGAAACACTGGGTGGGCTCCTGTATCTGTATTTCTGAAATATGACAGTATTACAGGTAGTAATAAAGAAGAACGTGGCTTCAGATCAAAAGTTTAGTTAAAATAACACAGCTCTGTCCAACTTCCTGCCAACAAACACAATATGCTTTTTGTTGCTATACTGACATCATAGCCTGGTAAAAGTCTCTCTGCTTCTTTTAATTCTTCTAAGTTAGCTGTAAATGAGATGTTTTGTCAATAAGGAAGGTATGGAGCTCAATATGTGGAAGAAAGAATCAATTTAGAGATTGCCCCAAAGATGCTAAGCTGTTTCTTTGCCCTCTACACCTCCCCCAGGGTTAAGATCTTGCCTTTATCACACCTCCTCAGAACTAAATACAGCATTATTGTGTTGTTCATTGCTTGACTGATTGTGAAAAGCTGTTATTGCTTCACAGCTGTCAGGATGCTCTGTACTGTTATTACCTGCATTTACGTAGCACTATGCCTGACATGTCAGGTGAAGCAAAAATAGAGGTGAAGACCATATTTTAAAGAGCTTGTGGTTGGACACAGGTAGAACAGAGAAAGCAGAAACTCTGAACAGGAATGGATATATCATAGAATAGGCACTAGATCTGGTTGCCTGGGGCCACATTCAGCCTGGCCTTGAACGCAAGGAGCTGGTCTTTTTCACAGGTCGCAAGGTGTGTTAAGCATAAGTGCGTGTGGTCTACGTGGTGATTTGTGAATGTGAAAAAGGCAGATATACAAACACGTAGGTCACCCTATGGGACAGCGAAACTGTTGGATTTCAAAGAATTGTCTGTAATTCCCCACCTGGGTCAGGGTCAGGACAGTATTCTCATAGCAGGCATAATGGATTCCCTGCTTCTTCAGATCCAGCAGCTGAACTGAAGGTCCTTATGGTCTGGAGTGAGAGCTGCTGAGAGCTGTCGTTGTCACTTTGCAATGCTCCGTTAGCCAGATTGATCCAGCTTTCACTCCAGGTTCTTCCTTCTTCCTGGCCCAACCAGCAGCTCAGCAGGTCCCTTGGTTCTATTGGCTCCAAGGCTCCACAGATGGTTGCGTCAGCTTTGCTTGGGCAGCAGAGGATGCAAACCCAAGGGTAGGACTGCTCAGATCAGCATTGCTGTCAGCATGGGAACTGCAGCAGCTCCCAAAGCAGCTGCAGGATTCCCTGCTGCAAACTTGGAGCAATTGGATGAGCCAAGCAGGGCTGACTGAGAAGGCACGCTGACCTGGAGAAGTGTGGTCCAGCTGAGTAGTACTTGGGAACCCAGCAGAAAATACATGTGGTTGCTCTCTACTGAATGAGCAAACTGACCTGACCCAGCTGAGCACCAAAGCTGGCAAAAAGAACAGGATGAGGGCATTCAGCTGGAGGGAAGAGCAGAGACAGCACTAGCTTGTTATATGGGCTAAGTCCACCTCACCTTGAAATGATGATTATAGGTAAAACGTGTATAACCACAGGCTGTGCTGAACTTTAACCTTTGGTTTTAAATAGCATCATTTATTTATTTTAATGTTATGTGTGTGGGATTGTGTGACAAGATAGACTGGGCCAAAGTTACTAAACTTAGGTTGCCCAGTTGATAGGTAAACCAGCCACTGACAGCACAGCTCTGTGCTGGTATCTGTGAGGGCAGCAGCGCTGAGGAAGCCTTCCCACCAGGCTGTGGAGCAGAAATGGAGGCTGGTGTTGGCCTAGATTTAGAGAAATATTTCCACTAAGACATATTACAAGCTGAAGTTTCCAGCAAATGGCGAAGGCTCACAAGACATTTCCTTGTCTTTGAATAACTTTGCCTTCTGCCCTCACAAACTATGAATCCAATATTTACAATAGATAAATTCCCTCCTGCATCAAGTGTTTACTTAGAAAAGTTCAGAATAAGCAGAGCACCCAAGTCCAAATAACAAAGCAACCTTTATGAAACAGCCTCATTAAAAAATAACTTAAACCATCTATTGTTAACCTGCTTTATGTAAAATTATTCTGCCAAAAATACCCATTAAAATGAATTTTTTTTAAATATGAAAGTTTATTCTTTTTATGTTATAGAATGCACTAAACCAAAAAAATTAATGCAACCTATTAATGACAAATATGAGTAAAAAAAAAAAATTAAATCCCAATGGGAGTTCATGAAAAATCACTTTTGCTCTCTGAATTTTTGTTTCTTCTCAATTTGTGCCTGAAGCACTTTTGTTTCTCTGGCACACTTAGATGACTTTCTGTACATGTGCCTCTTGCTACTTTGGTTCATCAAAATGATATCAAATAAAGCAGCTGTACAAACTGGCAGTTCGTTTACAGTGATTATATGAAATTGCTTATCAGAAGAAGTGTCATAAAACACAGATAAGGTCTAACTGTGATCTTCTGCTGTGTGCTATCAGATGTTTGAGAAATTAGTTAGGATATTAAATTTATGGTTAAAGCTGTGGGTACAAAATCTTCCTGCTTCAGCAGAGGAAATCTAAACAGAGGAGAAAAAAAATAAGAATTGGTTGTCATTTGGAGGTTTCATTTCATTAAATTTTGAAGTAGTTCTGTCTTTCTAAGCCCTAGGTCACAGTCTGGGGCCTGTTAGTACAAATATTTGCTTTGTCAGGAGAAGGCAAACCATGATGGTGATGGAGTGGGCCCAAACTTTCTGATGCCCATCTGATGAGAGTTACCAAATACTGAAGTAATGGCCAACTATAATGGAATGTTATTTACTTTTTTCATTTATAATGCCAAGACTGTAAAAACTGTTACTTTCTTTTTTGCAAGCATTTTTTCTTTCCCTCTCTTGCTGCACATGACGCTTGACTGCATGTATAAGGGCCAGTTTCTTTCATTGTCGCAGAGCACTTTGACTATCAGCTCAATCAAGGAGAACAAACAGACTCTCTGAACCCTGGTTGCCTTATAGAAATCATCAGTCTTTTGAGTTCACTTCCTCAGCGTTGCTGTGACTTCCCCTGATCCTGCCCAGATGGCTCACTACCTGCCACAGAGACACGTCTCACTCGCAGGGTAGCTGACCCTGGACCTTCCTCCTAGACTTTGTGCTGCTACCAAAATAGTTCTGCTAGCAGGAGCTGGTGGAACAGGAGTCACAGAGCCAATATGGGTTGGGTATGTGGAAGTAAAGAGAGATTCAAATACTTGTGATTAGTTAAAGGTGGGAAAGAAACTGCTTTGGGAATAATGATACCACCCTATTTCAACTAGCAAAGGTGGCAATTCGCCCACTCAAAAAATTCTTTTTATCCTCTGTCATAGTGATTTTAGTGCAACCACACTGAGCTCTAAATGAATGTTTGTAATAATAATCACTTACTTTATTAATGGAGAAAATTGCTAATGAGACACTGGATTCATCACAATGAAATGTTGTCTGTCACTGCAGGATTTCTGTCATGGGCAAGTGATGTGGCCCCCACTAAGTGCCCTTCAAGTGAAAATTGCTGAACCTGGAAAATCCTGTAAACAAGTTTGTCAGGAAAGCCAGCTCATTTGCGAGCCTTCCTTCTTCCAGCATCTTAACAAGGACAAAGCTCTGCTTAAGTAAGTACCCAAAAGCACAAACATTATTTGTCTCTTTCTATAGCTCTGGTTTTTGCCACGTAAGGTGCTTAGTGCACGGATTCTGTGAGCAGAGGAGGTGTCGAGAGGCACTGTGTGTTTTGGCAGCAGCAACCCATGAGGCCAGCAGTCCATCCTTCACAGCAGCGGATGGTTGGAGTTACTGCTGTGCCCACAGCACTGCTCCATGCAGCATGTGTTTTTGCAATGAGGAATACAGCACAGAGGCAATCACCAAGCCAAAAACTCACAGCTTTTCCTTCTTCCCTCCACCTCCTAAGTGCACGCTCTGCACGCTGCGCTGCCCTTTGGTATGGAGTTGCTTGCAACAAGCAGAGATGCTTACTCTGCAGTATCACGGATGCCAGGACTATGATTGTGTTTGAGTGAGCTTGTAAAACTTGGGCTTGTTGCAGCCTTGGCTGAGCAGGTGCACTGTTCTGTATTACTTTTGCCATATATTCCTGAGAGCAAGTGAATGGCATGGTGCCTTGCACTAATCCCAGCCGTGGTTGGCAGTGCGGTGGAGGGAATGATTCAAAAATTAAATCTTTTGTTGCAGCAAATAAAAAACTCTCTGCACATTGTGTGATTTCCACCAGTTACTTGCATGATTTTAAATGCAGTGCCTCGTTCTGCTTTTCTCTCATTTATTGAGCTCCCTCTTTGGTTACGATTAACATCCACACTGAGAAACATATATTCATTAACGATTCCAAGTGCCATCTCTGCAAGCCTTTGTCAGTAGCATCCTGGATGTAAAGATTTCTGATCCCTGCTGCATTTAGAGGTATTAGTACCACTTTATAGTGCTTACCAGCTATGCATTAAGGAAATTATTGCTGCTTTCAGGTGCCATTTCTTTGGGAACATGCCTGTGTTCTTTTCAGAATGAAAGCAAAGCATTCAAATGCTGGGCTGCAAAATGGCTGCTTGCAAGTGTGCCTTACAGGTTTTCCATCTTCATCTTTTTCTATATTCTTTGTAGACAGATTTTATTTTTATATTTTATTTGAAAAGTTGTAATTTCCAGCGGAGTACAGAAGCAGCTCACGTATGAAAAGTTTCTGTCAAGCTCTTGTTCTTTTCTAGCTATCTAGACAAAATTGTGTTTCTGTGGACAAAAAGTCTGTTAAATTCTAACGCCACCACTGTTTCCAGAATAATTGGAAAAAAGACTCTGCTGGAATTGCTACCTTCAAACTTTTAAGCTCTGTGGTCAGAAAATGGCAACTTGAGTTTTCCTTTCTTCTGCAGCACAGCACCAGCACCTCAGCCTCACATCGGGCTGCCCGGGATGCCTGGCGTGGTTTGGTTTGCCTGGCAGTGATTTGTGCTCAAATCAATGAAACTTTCTCCTGCTTTCAGATTCTTTGGTTTTGTCTTACTAGAAATCCATTGTATACTAAAACATCAGATCTGAGGAATAATGTTTTTCCCTTTTTAACTTCTCTCATTAATCTTTAAGACACGAAGTAATGCTAAAAAGACTCTGCTGCCCTCTGCAGAGAGAATCTGTGCAAGCAAAAAGAAATTAGTGTCTGAAAACCTGCATCTCTGATCTTAACTTAGTTTGTAGTGCAGTATTATATCCGTGGTGAGCAAGGATGAAAACTGTGTACTCAACTCCTGCAAACTCCACTCCACTTTTGATGGCTTGCTTTCCTTTTTAGGCATAACATCGAATGTCTCACCGTTGAGTCTGCAAATGATATTGTGGTCCCCTCTTTTGACGGAAGAAGGAAGCACTGTGTTTTCCAAGGTGACCTCTTACTGTTCAGCTGTGCTGGATCCCACCCGACCCACAGAAGAATCTGCCCATGCAGGGACTACATTAAGGGACAGGTTGCGCTGTGTAAAGACTGCCTATAGCAGCAGCAGGGCTTCTTTTGAGTATAGGACAAAATGTAAGTAGTTTTGAGAGGAGCTACTTATTAATTCCTGCACTTCTGTCCAGGTTTTTTTGCTGCAGGCAGAGCTATTATTGCTGGGCAGAATTATCTACTGAGAGGAGGGATTGATAGCAAACAGCTAACTGATCTTTTTTCCTATAAGAACATTTGCAGTGCAACTCTTCAAATTGCTTCATCTGTTTGCGAAGAGAAATGAGTTTCGTGTTCTCCAGTGGTTTGAAGATGACTGCACAGAATAGTTTGTAGAAAACTCCCAGGCCCATCAAACTTCTTTTTTGTTGTTTGGGTGAAGTGTTTTCTATTTTTCAATGAGTTTGAACATCCCTGGTCATGGTTAGCAAAAAGATCTCAGCATCATTCCAATAGAAAATTGAAAAAAGTGTGCTGGGGGGTGGAGGGGGGGAGGACTACAATTTATTATAGATGCACTGTTTTGGGTACTGCTTTGTCTTGAATGGCTACAAAGTGGTTTACTTCACAAGAATTTGGAATCACAAGATAGCTCTATATTCTGCAATTGGGTTATCTGGGCCCAGTCCTTTTTGTTTAAGTTTTGTATACAAAGTATTGTCTGCATCACAGCTGCTGCACCAGAGCAGTCTGAACAGAAAGTACTATGAGTGAGCAAGCAGGCAGTGTGTGACCCAACAGCCAACTTGGGTTGGGGCATTCTTCAGTGTGGAAAAGCCTCAAAGGCACGCTGCCTTTTTAGGGATGGACTTGTCAGTTTACTGGTCCCATTTAGAAAGTAATCCTTGGAATTTGCCCATGCTTCTGTTGTAGTCTGTCTACTAGAAATACTGTGTGAAGCAAAAAGTATTCAGCATCTTTGGAGCAATATTATTGTTAGAGCCTCAGTTTGCTGCGCCTTCCAGTAGTTAAAGTGTTGCTGAATGACATAGAAAGGTTAAACTAAGCTAACTATAATTATTGTATGGTAGAAATGTAAAATGTCTTCATAACTAGCTAGATTTTTAAAGAGAATTTTTTTCTGAAGAACAAGAGGAGACAACTGCTAAGAAAAGTATTGACTGATCTTGCGGGTGCTTTGGTTGTTTTTCTCTTGGGGAGGGAAGGAGGGTTTTGGTGTTTTTTTAGGTTTTCTTTTCTGTTTTTTTTTAACAGGCACACCAGTCATAAATTGAGAAAATTGAAGAGTTTGAATTCAAACTTCCTTTGAAGCAGCACATTAAATCTTTGACACCACTTTCTTTTTGTAGAGGTAACTATGGTTCTTCTCAGCAGAAGGTGGCACGCTTGGCAGCACCATTTGTAGACAGGAAACAATTTGCTAAGGTCAGTGAGAAACCAGTCCGTGGTGTATTTTGAAAGCAGTCATAGTCAGCACTTTGGGAGGTGAACGTGTTCTTTCTGTGTTGGAAAAAACTCCATTAGCATGAAGGGTTTTTTTCATGAAAATGACCGTTACTGAGTAGCCATGAAAAGCATAGAAACTTGTGTTTTCCCATCTCTTGACCTACCAAAGACCATTGGAGGGAACTGCTTTTTAATCCTGGATAAATTTTTAAAACAAGGGAGCCGAAAATTGTTAAGTTTCAATGTGAAAACAGCAAATTACCTTTTTCCAATTGGTTTCCTGCCTCAGCACTCCTGATGGTGTTACACTGTAACACTCCATACATAGGACTGCTGAGAACTCAGGACTGTAATCCTGAGGCTGTTGGGCGGCCACAAGGCTGTGTGGGAATGTTCAAGTTCCTGGGATGCCAGGAAAAATCTGCTGTATCTTAGAGTAATTTTCCAAAAGCAGAATAACAGGGCCCTTTAATGAGGCAAACATTTTGTGTGAGAAAAAAAACACAACTAGTATGAGCATTCTTTCTTAGCATATCTCAGCATTTGCTTCAGTCAACAGAAGCGTAGTTTGCAATAGTTTTAATACCCCAGCAGAGCTGGAGGAGGATTCAAAATGGTTCTGAGCAGATGCAACAGTTCATTTTGTGTTTATATCACCTATTCCCCACATAGCTGTGCATATTTATGCAACTGGAAAGCCCTGTATATTAATGGCAGTGTGTATTTCTACCTGGTGCTGAATGTGGGGGCAACAGCAGAGATTTGTCTCTCCTAGTTCAGCCTGAGGTTCCTCAGGCAGGATTTTAATTCAGAATGACATATCAGAGAATTACATCGGAAACAAAGATGTGGATGTGTGCACTTACAAATGCAAAACACGTAGTTTTTGTTGCAGTGTAATTCTTGCTGTAAATACGTATTTGCTTGACTCCCACCGCTGTATGGTCCACATGGCATACTGCATTTTATTTTGCCTCTAAGCTTTTATAGATGGGGAGGGTTTTGGTATTTGTTATTATAAGATTTTCTGGTCTAGTGCTTTGCTCAATGGTAAGTCTGCATTTACCACAGCAGGGAGAGTCTATTATAAGCTGTTTTTTTTTTCATGCTGTAGCACTATTTCTCTCTTAGCCTACTGAGCTGAATTACCGCATACTGGCAAAAGTGAAACAGCAAACACTGGTGCCGCTGGCATTTCAGCCACGGACAGGATATCTAAATCCAGTTTCAGGATCATTTGGGTCTGATTCTATTTCCACTGAAATCTATAGAGAATGAGTCCTTAATCTTAAAGAAAAAAGAATCAAGAGCTATAGTCTCACAGGCCTGCGTTGTTAACTTAACACACAGTAGCTGGACCTCTTCTTTCAGAAGTGTTACTTTTATGAAATACAGCTTCAATCAAATTTCTGTAAAAGAGATCCTCTAAGAACTGTGAGTGAACAAACTGTAGTGTGCTGATGTTTCACTCTCCATCACAGAGCCGTGTTGCCCATGCATCAGTAAATCATGCAGAGCCCTTCTGCAGATAAGCACTCAGGCAAATCCAGGTGGGACTATTACAGTTTTGAACAATTTAGTAACGTGTAAAAAATCCCCATGTTAGAACAGAGGCCAGCCTTCTGTCCAAGTGTCAGAACTATTTTCCTTCCTAGTGAAAGAGTAAAGGTGGAGTCACAATATTCCACTTGGGTTCCTTGAGGTGGGGCCAGGCCGCAGAGCTCAGTGCGCCAGTAAGGCCTGCAGCTCCTTCTGCTCTGAAATCAGAAGTCAGGTTTTTGCATGACTTGGCAGTGGAATATATTGACCGGTGGTTGGTGGGGGAGGAAAAATGTCAAAAGTTGCATAGAAGAAGGTTTTACAAGCTTTTAATCATAACTCTCATATCAAGACATTCTTTGTTTTAAAATTTTGTATTTTTGTATGTGACCTAGTTTTTTCAAAAAATGTTGTTCCTATGAGATTAGAAAACTTGAGAGAAGCATTTACATATTTATTAACATAAAATTATGGCTTGCCTTTGAAAGGTAAAGTTGGTAAATACACACTGTTTAAAAATGCCAATAAAAACCTCATTTATTTCATATATGCAAGTTGATTTGCACATGTATAAATAGAGTTGCTTTTTTGCATTTTTTGCTTAGTTTCTTTTTGTGCTTTATAGTCGCAGCTGTGTTTGTTTATAGCAGATTGTTTCTCCTACAAATATTTAATGTTTATGTGCCTTTTTTTTTCTTTACTTTGGGGTTTGGATGGCTGCTTTTAATGTGGACACTGTCTGAACAAATATATTGGAACACTAACTGCAGGTAAAACCCAGTGCTTGGTCACTGTATATCTGTTAGCAGAACAAATTCTGAATGTTTTGAAATAGCAGGAAGATCTGCTTTAAAAACATAAGGGTTAATAAGATAAAAGATACCCAAACATCACTGATTCTTACCAAAATTTGCTTCTGCTAGTGAAATGCCTTTTACTGAATGTCTGTAATTGGACATGAATGCTTCTGCTGGGACAGATGTCTGTGTAAAGACAGAGAGCAAACTGCACCCACTGCATTCTCCTGGGTGATAGTGCTAACAAAAAACCTGTAGGAATAGTCACACCTAATTTGATTAAGTGGAAGAATTAAGATCTGCACTGGATTTGGGAGGCACTTGGTTTTTCACATACAAGTGTGTTCAGATGGAAGTGCACAGGGTGACTCCTGGTGCTCCTACCATGCAGTCCTTTATATCCAAATGTATGAGTGCATATCCAAATGTATCAGCCTCAGTGGAGAGGGAATTCTGGCTGTTCATCTGACTGCAGAAATCTCTATTTTCATTTCTGTGAGGATATTTTGTCTAACAGCTGCTGCTCCAGGTTCAGCAGCGCAGGCTTGAGGACAGAGCCAGATTTCTGTGCACTCCCTGCTCAGCTCTGCTGCAAACGCTCGCAGCTGTTTGTAACTTGCTCACTGACAGGTGCTCAGACTTGTCCAAAATTACCGTCAGGTGCAAGTGAGGCTGTTCACCAATGTCTTCTCTCCTTGCTTAATCACATTGTTCTGACCTTTAAATCCTCCCGTGTGTCCTTGGGTTGTCCCCTAACTAAAGGCATGCCTCCCTTCTCAGAAATGAGCGTCCCCTCTAAATTACAAAGATGGGTTACAAGCTGCTACTTACTCAAAATAAACAAAATTCAAGTTGCTTTCTTAGGCATGTATTTTGTTCACAGTGCATTTCAGGACCAGATTTTACTCCAGTGAAAAGGAAAGGGGATAAATGAGGCTGGGTACAATTCTCATCCAAGTAATTAATTTCACAACTCCCACTGGCCTCACTGGTAGCAGGACTCCCCCATTAATTTCTCTTCAAATTAAAGAAAACAGCTCTCCCTTTTTGATAAAGCACCATCCTACAGATAAAGACTAAACCCTTGCAGGTTATGCTGTGCATGTTACCAGCAGCCAGTTTTGCTTGCTGCTATAGCATTTATCATCACTAAGTTGGTGTGACTCACCATAATAGTATTGGTTCAGAACCTGGTTAAATAACTGTCCGCTCTGCATTTTGGAGTGCTAGAGTCTAGTTTTGTTTTGATTGTTTGTTTTAAAGAGAATATCAGTTACCATTTTCGACTTTAAAGCCTTTTTTTGAGGGGTGCTAACTTTTTGCCATGGCTCTGTGTGACATTTTTCCTGCAGCTGCTTTGCCTTCAGCTTTTGACTTAGGATTGGTTTCCATTTGTGGTTCTCCTTTTCCCCAACAGTTCAGGCACCACTGTGAAGTTGAGAACGGTGCACTGGCTGATATGGGCTTCTGGTCAGGCTGGAAAGGCCAGGGGCAGGTTTCATTTAAGTATGCTTTAATAACACTGCTGTACTGTAGTGTTAAAACATTTTGTTTAATGGTCAGTGACTTAAATCTTGTCTTCATATTTTTAAGTAGCTCTGGAGTTGTTGGGTTTTTTTAAGTTAGTTTGTAAGTTCCAAATATTATATTTAAATGGAATGTGTAAACAGCAAACGCCATGTATCAAGTGCAAAATGTTTACTGTAGGGATGTGTTGAAAATTGCAGAGGCTGAACCTGAGCTGTGTGGCATTGCTCGTGTTCTTTCTTCCAGGGAAAAGTAACAAAGCGCAGCTTCCATGTGAGTCATCCTTTACACTCATTGAATTAAAACTAGTGTTGGGCTCTGATTCTGCAGACCTCTCCCAATAGCACAACGCAACCTGCTTATTAAATGGGTAAATAAAGCCAGGTCCTCAAAGCGCTGATAAAAGGAGTTGTAACTCCACCTTCCCCACGCTGCAGTGTGTGTCACACGGCCCGGCCAGCTCCCAGCAGAACTGCACAGGTACACGGTAAATCATGCTGAATGGCCGTCTGAGGGCAGTTTGTTTGAATAGGGTTATACCCAGGACTCATTTGCTATGCTCATTAACAAGCTTGCTGTAATATGGTGACAGTGAAAACCATTTTGTTTAGTTTTCACAAAGGAATACGGCAGAGGAGGAGGAAATGGCAGTTTTTAGCAAAAGGAAAAGGGAGTCAATTTTCTGAGAAAACTTACCCTGCAGATTGCAACAAGAGAAATATTAAAACTTAAAGGAATGCTCACTCTGCTGGGTTGAGCTGAGTTCTCTCTCTGGCTGAGCGCAGCAGGGTGACACAGAGCAGCTCTCTGCTTCCTGGTCTCATTCCTTCCCTGGAGGCATCTCCATAGGGAAAGGCTAGAAAATTCTGAGTAATCCCTGTAGCACTGTAAGGGGAGAAGTCAAACAAAAACCTGCTGAAATCTGTAAAAACAAAGGCTGCTTTTTGTGGAAAATAATTTGGAGTTGGAGTTTTTATAGTTTTGTAAGAACTTCAGGGTCAGGCTGGTTACTGTGTGTGTTCAGTTGGAAATCTCTGCTAAAGTCTTTATTTGAATGGTTGTGTTCCACTATATTGCATTCAAACAGTTTGATTCGGAAAGATGAGAACACAGTGATTCAGATACTGTCAAGTTACTGGGGTTCAATAGGATAAGATTATTTTATTTTTTTTAGAAACGTAAATGTCTGTACTTTAATGGCATAGAAAAATGCTTTGTTTTCACTGTTGTAGAAAAAAAAACTAGGGAGAACTTTATTTTTCAATAAACCTTTTTCTTGTGTGATTTGGATCTATGATTGCTTTGTGCATAAATGGCAAATCTGTGAGCTGCCACGGATCCAGAGTTGCATCTGTGTGACAATCCGCAGCCCGCAGCTGCCCATGCAACAGAAGCACGGCCCACATCCCAGTGGTAAGAAAGGACACTTTGTTATCTTTGTTTTGCTTTGTTGTAAATCTGAATTGGATTTAAGGACAGATAAAATCAAGATTCATTTCAGGAGAGCAACTTTCCCTCTCCAATAGTTAGACATACTTCCTAATAATTTTCAGCCCAAAGGAAGACTGTGGACGTTGGCTGCACACTGCATCCAGAGTACAGAACTACTTGCAAAACAAACTCCTCTGCAAAGGCTTTCTATCAAATGCACTTTCAGCTCTCCAGCTGATGTTCTTGCTGATGCCTGCGTCGCTCCTGGCTGTCCATGCAGTGCCACCATGATTCTGCTCCCAAGTTCTGCCTGAGGCTCAGTGATGCCAACCCCAGCATGCAGCTGATAGCGTGGAACAGGTAACATGCAGGAACTGGTCACTGCCTCCCCACAGGCTCATCCTGGGGCTGACAGGAGTGGGAAAGCATCCTGCTCCCAGGTGTGGGAGCAGCAGGACAGGTCCCTTGATTGGCTGGTGTTTGATTTAATTACTCTCCAGTTGCATAACCTGGACCCACAGGAATGTGGGTTTGTGCCTCTCCTGTCTCAGTTCTGATGCCTGATGAGCAGTGCATGTCAGCACAGTGCTTTGTAACAGTACTGCTGCATGGCAATGCATGTAACATAGCAGCAGCACACACCTGAAAGCAGTGCTGAGAAATTAAAAGTGCTGTGAGCACAGTGAAACACTTGCAAGTCCAGGATGAGGTATTCTCACAGATCAGTGTATCAGGGATAGCGTTTGGCCAGTAGCTTCAATGCTTCCTTACCCCTCTGGCTCCCAAAAATGTCTATGTGCTCCCAGGCAGCTGAGATTGCAGAAATGCAAATGGTATTATCATTAGTGAGGAGAGCTCAGAGGTGTGCATACTGAGAGCTTAATTTGACGTTGTCTGAGGAAGCGCCTGTCTGTGGTCTTCAAGTCCAGTTCTGCAACATCATTTTCAGATGGTGGTTGAATGCTGGTTATTTATGGCTTACCTACAAGGCTAGAGGTGGACTGAATTGGCAAGGGATTCTAGTTTGGTAATTTCTGGGCTCAAAAACCTGGCTTTCAGCCAGAGGTGGAACACTATCAATTTCCACTGCCTAACAATGAAGGTATGCAAAATACACCTCATGCCTGGTACCTGGCACGTGCAAAGCATGGTGTGGGGTTTTGATAGCTTCCTTCTCTGCTGTACTACATGGATAAATTCAAAGCCTCAACTCAGATTCACTGACATTTTCAGGGATTCGCAACTCTGAGTTTGGACGTGCTTTAGTATCAGTTTGCACTCTGTGCTGTTTCATGTATGAACTTCATTCTCTTTGCCCTCTGCACAACCGAGAGCATCTGTCAGTTTGACAAGCTTGCAGTCACCAATACTGTGTTGGGCAGTACCAAGGTTAAGGTGATCCAAGTGGTCCCAGGCTACCCCTGCTGTTGGAAGTTCCACCTTCAGTGAGTGTGGCTGGAACCTGCTTGTTATCTCGTAATTACAGAGCGGCTGGCACAGACAGGTAACAAAGAAAGCTACTATTGAAAATTTTACCTTTGAGAGTGTCTGGCTGGAGCAGAGCATTCTGGTAAACTGGATAAGCATTTATTTTCATTTCAATTGCAATGAGCCATAAAAAGTATGGTAGTATGGATCTGTGCTCACTTCTATGTATCACTGTTGCCTGGTCTTTTTCCTTTGAAGTCTCAAGTATTTTACTTATTTTCTTGAATTAACCTGCTAATACCAGAAGTGCTTTGAAGCATCCATGGTAACTGAAACACTTCTGCATTTGGTTTATGTTACTGTGATAAGAAAAGTATGAGCTTGTTCAACCACCTCTCATTTTCAAGGGCTGTGCAGCTGGAGTCTGCACTTACAGCCACCAACTAGAAAAGAGGATTCCCTCAGCTTTGCTTCATGGATGAACACAGCCAAAGGTCCCTGTGCACACATTGCACTCAGTATTTTAACAGGCTGCTTTAAAATGTGAGCTGGTTTGATGTCCTACGTTCTGTCCATGAAGTAGGAGTTCTGTGCCACCAAGCTCACTGCACTTAGGTGTCTCACCACAACCTGTTTTACCTTCTTGCTGCTCTTCTGGGTGCTGGTCTGTGCTAGAACCTGGCTGCTGTAGCGCACAGCCCTGCAGAGCAGTGCTTTGGGCAGCTCCTAATTGTCACTAAATGACTGATGCTGGGACTACAGAAGCAAGAGAGGTGGAAAAGGGTAAACAGTACTAATAAAACCAGCAAAAAATAAGAAATACACAATATAGCTATGCTCAGGGTCTGGTCCTATGATTCTGGTGCTGAAGATTCTTGACAAAACTGAGTTAATCAGCAGGAAGATGCCTTTTCCATGGCTCTCTTCAGTGGACTTGGAGTTAGAAAAGAAACAGAATGGGAAAATGTCAGGACTAAGCATAAGGAATTAGGAACTTGTGCATGAAGAAAGGATTTTGGGGCAGTACATGATGTTTAAAAGTCCACCTAATGAAAACAGGGACAATTGCTGTACAAGACATCCTTGTGCTGAATAGGCTTATAAAGTACCTCCTGTGTCTTGGCGAGTACTGAGCTTCTGTCTTATGCTGAGTGACGTGTGATGGGTCTGTCATCATCCAGCACCAGCAAAGGCTCAAGTACCACCAGGACACTGACAGTCACAATATTAAGGAGCTTGTATACAAACAATTATATAAACTTAATCCAAAATATCTGTAAGCCAACTGTAGCAGCAGAACAGAATTCATTTTGCAATACTTTTCTGTTCTGTTTCAAGAGACAGCAAGGGCCATTGTGCCAGTGCTGTGCACCTCACACTGACACTGTCCTGTACTTTTGGTGTCTCTTCCTACACACATCAGTGGGAGCTTGCCTTTAATAAGGACCCTGGGGAACCTGGCTGACAACTTGCTGTGTGACATTTGAAGGGAAATATGGTTGTAGATGACACAAGGCGTCAGTAAACTATTAGTGTCCCCACTGTACATCAGTCACTGAACAGTCTCATTATAGATCTACTCTCATTTACATAATCTATTGCAGAGGAGCTAAAAATGGGGGTTTCTAGCTACTTGGCTACTTACCACAATCCAATTTCAACCTCTGCAGTGGACTGTCTGCTATTTTTAATCCACCTGTGATAAACAGAAGCAATGTAGTGGCTCTGTGTTGTGAAAGCCAACCTGAAATATATAAAATAAAGAGAAAATGGATATAGCCAGAGAATCCAGTTTAATAGGCTGCTATACAGGAAGACTTTGCCCTATGGTACATTCTGGAAATAGTTTTTAAATGTTACTTACGGTATTGTATAAAATAGATACCAGTTTTATTGTTTATACATCAAGTTTCTTTGATAATTTAACCTGCTAGTAATACATAAGATGTGCGATGGAAGGTGAGCAACACTTTACAGAACAATCTAAATCTAATAAATAGATCTCTGTCTCACCACCCAGTTGCGCCACTGCTGTGCCATCATCAGACTACAGAGCAACCACAGTCACACACACCAACACGTCTGTGTAAAGTAGAATAGAATAAAAAGTCTTTCCTCAAGCAGCTTCTCTTCCTTGCGTGACTTCTTGGCTTTGGTCTGTACAGTGATACTGTGTGTGCTTGTTTGGTCCATGCAAAGCAATCAACAGTGTCTTCTTAAGAAAAAATAGAATTTAAGTTGAAGAGGTATCGCTTCGCTCAGGTTAGGGCTCAGACGAAGAACCGCTCTGATCCCAGAAAGGTTTGTAGCCTCTCTTTCTGTGGGCCTATTTAAAAAGGGATGAAGGGAGATCCCAGGTAAGTGTTCCAAAGCAACACAGCTCTTGGAGTCCGCTCTTTACAACAGGATATTCCATAGCCAAAGAGGTTAGCAAGGATTGCACTTCTGTTACAGCATGTGTTTAGGAAAATACAGGCCAGGGCAAATAAACAAGATCTGAAACTGGCACTTCTTTACCCACAGGTTTATCACATCATTAAGAACACTTTCACTTCAGAATATACAATGTGGCAGCTGGGCACTGCATGTTTTCTATAGTCACAGGAATCAATAGCATATTGAAAGAAAAATGCTGCTGTTTCACTGAATTGCAAGCAGTGTGCACATATGCCAATTTTACAGAGAGATTTCCCAATAAAACAAACTTCAACAAAAACGGACCACGGGAAACAAACGGCATATTGAATAAAATACCATTGGCACCACTTGCCCAAACTGCTGAAGTTTTAGAGTCCTTACAAAGAAGAGGTGTGTGATCTTCACTCAAACATTTCATAGTGGCGCGTTTGCCGTACGCGGGGCACCATATCAATAAGCAACCTGCAAAGGAGAGCACAGGAGTGGTTATGCAGAAATGCATGGCACCATGCAGAAGCAAATGATGGCGTGGCTGCAGCATGGCTTCTGAGGCTGTTCCAAAGGCTTCTGAGGCTGTCTGGTACATTTAAATACTTCAGCACTGGTTTGCCTCTATAGTTTTCCAGAACAGCTAGTTTTGCAGTGGAAATAATAGTGATCACAGTGATTTTTCAAAAATGGTATTCTCCATTAAAATGCTAGTTTCCCAATTTTCCAATGAAGGGAAGAAAAACACACAGCTTCCAGCTGAGAACTTACTGCATCCGAAGTCCACCTCTCAACAGTCATGATTCCAATTGAATAAGATGCTGCGTGTCCCCTTTTTCTTATGGAGAAAGAGCAACGAAACACAAAACCCTCGTATTCCTTGCAGGCAAGGGAAATTATAGCAGAGCTTCATTTAATATTATTCTGTTTCTGATGTCTGGAGTCAATAAATGATCTTAACATTCAGTAGAAACAATATTATTTGAAAAAAGCTGGCTAACTTCCAGTTCAAAAGTTGTTACATGGTGGAGATAAGACAGAAATCGCAGGTAAAACCACTCCTGAAATTATTGGTTATTTTTTGAATGTTTTGAAGCCAAAACCGTTTCATTACTATATTTCCAAATGCAGGTAAAGAAATGCCTCATTAAAACAGTTCTAATTTCTTTTAAGTTCTGGCTTCTTTCCTATTGATGTGAGACAGACACTCTTTTGTCTGTTTCCATGCACTGTTCCACACTGTTGGCAGCTGGTCTAATAAATTGCAGTAACTGGAGTTACACAGGCATTTAGGAGCTATGACTTTTTACATTAAAAAGACTGCCCATTTCAGTGCATACTGAAATACCTACTAGCAGGAGATACTCACTTGATTCCATAGGCAAATATTGTAAGTCCAATTAGAACTCCTATACTGCCATCCAGATACCAGACAGAAGAATTGTGTTTAAAGACTTCTGCGCTAAGAAGGATGGAAAATCCCATTATTCCACCTACAAGAGAGTTGAAGCCTAGACAGAGAAAGAAAGAAGGAAAAAAAAAGAGGAAGAACCAAATCTCAACAAAGTCACATGAGAGGAGTTCACCTGTAGGGAGAAAAGCTGAGTTTGTGCCAGTACTGCAGAGAGGGCAAAGATCCCTGTGTGAGGTGTCCTGCGTGCCATTTGTTTGCACCATTAGCCAGCAGACTGCAATGCTTCTGTTCTACAAATCAAACTTGCAATCTCTGGTGTGTGACCAGTTTTTAAGCTCTGGCACTTGTCTGTTCTGATATAGGAGTTTACATCCATTTCCTTGTACTGGGTGTCTTGGTTCAGTTGGTCCCAACTGTTTCTCATGACCCTATTGAGTTCCAAATCCTAATTCTAGCTGCTGTTTGTTTCAAACAGCTTTCCTTTCTTGATGCTAAATCCTTCAAAAGCTGCACTGCTCCATGCTGACTCTGACAGTGCAGCATTTCTTCCTCTTGCAGCTCATCATCACAAATCAGAACCAACTACCTCTGAGCTGTAAACCAGTGGTTGGCTGGCTGTCCCCTTGCATAGATCTTCCCAAGATCATCTCCATAAGGTAATTAGTACTGCAGCACACACAGCGAGCCCTGACTGGAACATCAAAGGCAGATCAGTAAGGGACTTGAAGTCTCTTTCTTTCTCTGAACAGGAGTCAGCTAGAGTCCAGGATACCCCAGATGCTCATTAAAAAGAAAATGATTTCACACAATAACTGTTCACAGATGTTATCACAGAGGTTTTTACTCCATTCCAGATATTTGTTTTTCTCTGATCACGATAGCTCAGAGCTGCACGCACTGCTGACTGCATTAGGGAAGACACACAATAATCCCAGGAACAGATTCATATCTATTACTCATAAATTCTATAGACATCATTTTGGATTCCTTTCTTTCTCTCTTTTTTAAACTGTTCCTTTCCAAGATCGTCCCTTTAAAATCTTTCCAGAGATTTAGAATGATTAGTGTCATTTTTCCTTCAGCTCTTCTTTGTTATTATGATTATTTTTCAGAGATTATTTTTCAAGATTGTATTCTTTTCGTTTCCAAACTCCCTTTTTCTGATTTTTATGTTCCACAGTAAGCCAGAATGCATTGCTGCTGTGCTACAACAAAAAAATGTCCCTGATAATGCATTCATTTGGTAGATACCTTGATGACAAAGGAAAAAGTCTAACTTGAAATAGCCAATACTTTGTGTTAAGTCAACTTTAGTCAGCCCAATTCTCCGTGTCTGCCAACAACCACATGCATGACACTTACTTCTGAATGTCCTCTTTGAGCCAGGCTGATCACATCCCACCCCATCCACACTAAGTCATTGCTCCAAGATGCAGCTAGCACTTGACTACTTCTATAGCTGAAATACTTTTATAATCCATCCATACTTTAAGATGCACCAGACCTTTGTCAGTAGGTATTTAAATCCAAAGGAAACCTTGCATGGCAAAGCACGTGTTACTTAGCAAGTCTGTGGCAGATTGAGGAATACAAAGGTATCAGGCTCCCAGAGCTACGAGAAAAGGATCTGGAATTTTTTGTGACTGGTAATGCCACTGGGATCACAAATTTTGCATATGCGTGCTTGATTACTGGAATAATTATACCAGTATATCTAAACTAGCATATGCCCAAAGCACTCTGTTAGTGCCTAGTCTGTTTGTATTCCCAAGAAGTATAACATACTACTTCTACTGAGAATGAAATATATATTGTGCATGTATAATATATTAAGTATAAATTAATTCACTATAAATTTATACCAGTGCCAGTTCCATGTACCAGCTTAATCCAGATTCTATTAGCATGATATCCAAAAGTCAGGAAATAATAAGACATCTTCTTGTCATTATTGGCTGATGCTTCCAAATGATCAAAAAGCTACTTACAAAGGAAATTGTCTCTTTTCCATTCAGGGAAACCTGTCTTTGTTGGTGGCAGGAAATCATGCAGCAGCTGCGGGTATGAATCCAGACACCACGTTCTGTGCATAAGGTCAGCACAGGAAAAAACAGGTGGCAAAATCTGGGAAGGAAATGGGTATCTAAAACCTACAGACAGACCTGTCTGTCTCATCCCTACATTTGTTCTTTGAGATGGTACAAGATTCAAGATAGGAAAGAGCTGTTTTTATTATCCAAAAGGCCATGAACTTTTGTTGTACACAAATCGTACAAGTAACGTTTTGTTTCATGAGGATTAATACATTTAGGCTTCAAAAATCTATGGTTGTAAAGCTCTGTTCTTTAAATATGTACATATATATATGTCTCCTTAATAGAGATTGGCATGTACAAGAGAAAAAAATACATGTATTTTTGAGAAAGAAAAATGTATGCTTGAATTACTCAATACAGTTTGCTGGTACACAGCCAGTGATCACAGGAGGTAAGTTAGTAGGAAACAGAAAACACTAAAAAAAGAATTGCATATCTGTCTCGGGTATTGAATCATTCTGTCTCCTCCTGGTTGTTAATCAACTAAGCATATATGTAAATGTTTTTTTGTGCAAGAAGATATTTAAGTACACACGGTAATACCAGCCTCCTACGTTTTCTAAAATAGCCCTAGAAGGAAGAAAATAGAGGTAATAAGCAGAGCAAGGTAATTGTATATCTTATTCCCTAATTTTTTTAATCAAAGAATGAGCAAGCTCCAGCTCAGTGGCAATATAATTAGCTCAAGGATGTAATTAGGAGGGAAGCAATTTCCCAACTCAAAGCTAGAATTATTCAGGAATTTTTCACCTAATATTTTGTCTGAAAAACTGGCTGCTTAAAAAACAAGCCACAAGTGGTTTTTTTTAGAGTGGAGGTTAATCTGCCTAGCAAACATGTCCTGCTTACACTGACAGCAAAATAAGGCAGAATCACTGGTCTGCAGCTCCCAGGATCCTTTCCAGAATCCATTTTGCAGGCTGGAGATCCTTTTGATTCAAAATGTCTAGGAAAATCTAGACTAAGGAACAGAAACAACATCTATTGCAGCTACACACAGAGAGAGGCAGGAGCTTAGTTCTACATTCTGCACTGCTGTTTCTTTTTTTGCTTATTTTCATACATAAATAGACACAAAGTATTTATATGTGGGACAATATAAAATGTATGTGTTCCCATCTATCACAAAATAATTAAGTAGGTTTAAATATCTTAAGATAAAGTAATTACATGCATCCCAAGAGTAAACTTAAAACTGAGTTTCCTTAAAATGAAATTTTTAGCAGAGTAAAATAATTTACATTCCACAATCCATGAATCATTTACACAGTACTGTGTATCCTAACAGAACATTTCAAACTGTCATGTGATGGAGATTTGTAGGGATCTGTGACATCTCCATCCTCCCACGGGCTCATATGTTTCCAGAGCAGCCCTCTGGAGCTTTCTGAAGATCCACAAGCTTTAGCCTTGTAAGTGAGAGGAGTGCTGGAGCTCACCTCAAAGCATGCCTTGCACATGCCTTTACAAAGAGCAACAGCTGGGCACCTGCACCGAGGGCTGGAGCAGTGAGAGCTCCCAAGCACTGCCTGAGTTTCACCACGTGACAAACCCTGGCAGGGTGCAGGACAGTAAGCAGTGGCATTGTTTTCCACGTGTCTTACTGTACTGGCTGTACTGGGCAGGTGACAGGAAAAGAACCAGGGCAGCAAATTACCTCTATAGGAGGACGTCTGAATGATGGCTGAGATCCTACTGAAAGCAGAGTGACTTTTTCTGCAGGAGACTTTGTATATTTCAGCAGTAGGGATGAACCTGCTCACCAGGTGTAGGCAATGAGGACAGATGTGACTTAGCCAAATCTCTACAAACTGTTGTCATATCCCTACACTATTCCAACCTCTGGCCTATATACACCTAATGTATTATGTGCTCTCTCTAACTTTTCTGTTATTGCTCACTAGCTACCCACTAACTGTTTGACTTCCATCAGAGGTACTCATTGCAGCTGATGCATCTATGTAAGAAGCCAGAGGTCAAAAATTGCTCTGTTTTGTGTTTTTCCACTTTCTCATTTCAATACACTTCCCCAGCTGCCCTTGTGCAGGGATCACTTGTATCTCTGGGTCTACCACATTCCCTGGGAGAATCTGTAAGTGCAACAGATTTGTATTCACACTCACCATCAGTTATCAGTGCTCTGCTTGTAAGGACCTTGCCCAGCATAAACTTGATTACTGCCAAAACAGTGCAGAGGATGCCACTTAAAACGGAGACACTATACAGAAAGTCATCCTGAAAGAAAAGATGTCAGACATTAGTCTATTTTCTGGTACTGTGCAGTATAATTAAATTACAAATACTAATATAGTTAGTATGCAATTATTTGTGCCATTCAAGTATACAACCTGAGAAAAAGATTTCCTAGATTATGGCTTCCAGATAGCAGTAATTGCTCTTGCAAACATAATTAATGATGGTTCCAAGCAACACATTTTGAATAGACTCAAACTCCTGAGATTGAGGAGATGAACCACCTGCTGGGCTGACTGTGGGCTGCCTAGTAACCTAACGTCTAATGCAATCAATAAGGAAGTCTGCATGCAGGATGAAGGACTGAGATTCCACTTATCAGACATTCGTTGATTTTTTTGTGTGCAAGAAATAATAATTCAATATCCTTTCTAAAGTAATGTAAAGTCTGGTCCAAGAAACAGGAGCACAGCTGAAGGCAATTCATGTGTGTGACCAGAAGGGGTGGAGCCTGCCTGCACCTCTCTTAGATCCCATTTAATGGCTGACTGCCACTGTGGAAAGATCTCTGGTTGGAGATCCCTCCCTTGTGGAGTCTTTCCTGTGAGCCTGGATCTTCAGAAATGGGTGAGGACTTTTCCTTTGTAACACCATCCCATTTGTGCTGGTCCCTTTGCTATTACACCCCTGTATCGCCCTTCCACTGTGTTAATCCAATGGTTACAGGTGGGATGCGAGGAAACCGCTGGGTACTGAAACACAGCTGCTGCATTCAGGCACCTAACAGCAATCCCTGTGTTTCTTCTTGCCACCTGACCACAGTGCTTCAAAGTAGATGAATTATATTACTCTTAAAACAAGCTTTAATTTAAGCTGTTGTAACATCAGTACAAATAAAGGAAACAGCAAGAATATTTTTATCTGCAGGTCTAAGTGGGCCAGTGCCACAGGGACCCTGTTACTGATTGAAATACTCTGGCCAAAACCCCCTCTTACAGTGAACACTGTCACGATGATTCATCAGCAGCTCCATCCATTTCCATTATTTTATTTTAGCGGCAACTCAAGGTGCAAAGAAATGAGATAAGGATGAAAAACTGCTTAGCAAGGTATTGCTAATTACAGGTGTGACGTGCTCACATCCCCACAGCCTGGGGGTCATACCAAACAGTATTTGGTATGTTTTAGTACAGTTTCCTATGTTGTACTTTCAAACTACTTCATTCTCTGCCAAGAGCCCATTCCTTCTAGTCCTGGTACAATAATGAATATTACAACAAAATGTGCTGAGGGAAAGAGCACGGAACACAAGCAGTCAGAAAACAGAATTAAGGCAACTGGGTAACAGTGGGATAAACAACATGGATAAAGTTATTCTACCAAAATGACTGGATTGTACTCAAGCAATTTTGGAGGGCTATGGAAGGTCTAGTAACGTTTTCTTGATGTCAGCCTAGTATATTTACTATGCCTAAAGATATAGTTTTGATAGTCTGACAAACTCTCATTGGTCTTCCAATTTTAATCTAATCTCAGCTAACACTTAACTAAATATTTTAACTAATATTAAATATACAGCACGAGTAAGAATAACCTGAAGCAGAACAACGTGCAACATCAACCCAAGGACCACTGAGTCTCCACCCCAAGCTAGCAGAGTGCTGTTCTCACACAAACGTTCCTTAGATGAGCCAATTTCTTTGCACTTAATTTGCAATTGTAAGAGTGACAAAAACCTGATCATGATGCTTTCAAGGCCCTGCATTTCTTTTTCTTGCTCCAGAATATCAACCCAGTTGGTCACTATCTGATGAGCAACAGGAACTGCCTCTCAGGAGTTACTGCTGCTGAAAAGAGTCAAGCAGGATTTAAAGGGTGACAGTGAAGGGGATGAAAAGAGCAGTGCAAAGGGGTGCTACAGTATGTCGATCATACCATAGATTTTTGGGGTGAATTCAGGTGGTTTGGGATTTTTCAGTCTTACCAAACTCATGGACCATTGGCATGCATCTTGACATGTGTTCCAGCTATTGTATCGTGATCAAAAATAGTCTCACTAATTGCTTTACTGGCAGCCAAGACAACTTAAATGTGATGCATGTTCTTAATAAATAGATAATAATTAATTAAGCCAAAATTCTATAGAGATTTCAGGAACTCAAAAAACTTCCAGATTATTTTTTTAATAATAGAGCACAAGCTCATTTTGTTTCTAATACTAAATCGACAGCCACCAATACAGCAGGAGATCTGATCCATCAGAGCTTCTCTGCCATCACAGAGAAGGGGAAGTAACTAAAAGTCTCCTCTCCTTGCTTTAGTCTGTTCAGAATAGGTTTTGTCAGAAGATTCCTTTCCCTCTTTTTTCCTCTGGATGTCAAAACTTAATTAATACCTAATGATCACCAGCTCAGAGCAGTTCCACACAACACCCACACGGAGGCGGCCGACGCTGCAGTACCAGGCGAGGAGACAAAACTGAAGTGTAAAAAAAAATCACCTACTTTGACTCCCAGGCCTTTGCTGTGCTTTCTGGATGCCCAGGCAGCTGGAAGAAGCATCAAGCAAGAAGGTTTTGCAACAGGGCAAAGAGCTGCTCGAAATGCTCCTTGGGGCCCACACACAGGGAGAGAGGCTGGAAGTGGTTTAGGACAGCAGCTGGCTCTGCTTCTAGGCCACATAGCAGAGGGTCGCAGAGGATGTGACAGCTGGAAGGAACAACACTGACCACCTGATCCTCAGGGCTACAGGGCAAGGGCACACGGGGCAGGTGTGCTCCCCTTGCTGCTGCAGCGCTCTGAGAGTTAAACACGTCGTACCATGATGTGAAGTGACTGCCAGTGAACCAAGCCATCCTTGGGAGAAAGGAAGACAAGAGGCCAGAACGCAGAGCTAAATTAATAAAATAAGCCCAGCCATCTGGCACTGTCTCCCTCAGGATCTTCCCTCCACTGTGCCCCCTCTGTGTCCCTTTGCCTTAGCATCTGACGGTCATTAACAGCACGAAGCACATCTTGCCAGACTCCCCGTACGTATTCATGGTGTTATTTTAATTAAAGCAGCAGCAGCAAATTGTGACAGATGATAAAAATTTAAATTCTGATCATTTCCATATGGTAAAAGCTTCTCAACATCATAAATAAAGCTCTTCCTTTTCCATTTCTTTTGATCATATTCACTCATTACTATTACACCCTACACGAACCCTCAGTGAATGGACATGCCATCCTACTAGATGGCTTCATGTATAAAACAACAGTGTGCACAAAGCTAGCTGCTCAGCCTGACGGTGAGAGTGTCCCAAAAGAAAGCTTTCATACAATGCCTTCTTTGGTCCCAGAAAGGAAATAATAGTGGTCAGCAGGCAGCCTTCCTGCACTTCGTCCCAATGCATTGTCCCCACCCGCGCAAATGAGAACGGAGGCCTTCAAAAAACGTGACAATTCTTTTGTGCCTGCTTTCAAATATCTCACTAAAAGAAGTCATCTTGAGGCTTAAGGAAAATTTGTTGATGGTACTGAGACTTTGATCTTTCCAAATCTATTGTAGAAACTAAAAAAAGCTGCAGGGGATGCTTCAGTGCTTGGCTTAGTAGGTGGAGATGCTCTAACACAATTCTCAGGCTAGTAACTAAATTTTAGCTGATTTGTGCTCCTGGCATCTTCCTAATTCTGACTTTAAGACTTTGCCCTATTTTCAAACCACATTATTTCTACCCATTACTTTTTCCCCCTCCATCCTGCATTTACCACCCTTTACACTCATTTTCACTTTGGGGATGCAGAAATGTTTTCACTTCACCTTCAGTTTACAGTGTTGAGCAAAAAGGTATTTACTGGTATTGGAGCGAGAAAGAATCTTCAGTGCTCCTAACCAGTGGTCACATCATGTGTGAAATTAAGGTTAAAATCTGTATGCGTGATTCTCCTCTTTGGCCTTCCTGTACTCTGACCCAAGGTAAGCTGCTGCTTCTCCTCACACAGCTGCAGCTTTCCTTCCACCCTCCTCAGCTTTCTCTTGACCTGGACACAGCTGGGAGCTGCTGGTACCACTCCTTCATCCCATTCCTCTCTCCTGGACCCAGAGAAGGCAGTGTTTTGCTGTATGGTACCTCTTCTCTGCTGAGCCTTGCCCGGGAAAGAAGGGTTTAAAATAAAACGAGACGCCTTGGCTCAGGAGGGAGGTCTGTATTTCTGGAACGCTGTAGCTGCTGTTGGCAGAAGCAATGTTGTGCCTAGGCCAAACTGAGCAGCTTTGTGGTGTTAAATACCGATTTTGCCCCTCTCTGCTCCTCGCCACCTGTCTCGCATCCCCACATCAGCCTGATCCTGCAGCGCCTCAGCAGCTCCCTCTCACCTCACCCATCCTGCACACTGCTGGCAGGCCGCTCTCCAAAGGTAACCAGAAAGGACTGGTTCCCCTGCTCTTCTCCTGAAGGATGATGTTTATACAGTTAGAGAGTCCAAATTTCTATCCTGCTTTCTCACAAGTAATGAATAGTTCATGTAATCAGCCTAGAGGCAGATTCTGGGAAGCTGGAGGCCCATCTCATCAGCTGACTTCAAAAGGGATGAAGGTTTTAATTGCTTTGCACCATCAGAAAACAAACAGACAGCCCCGTGTCTGACTCAGGTAGCAAACTCTTCACACGGAGACACAGAGATCTATTATTAGCACCAAAAAAAATTCTTATGAATGCTTCAACTTGCACCTTTGGTGCTGAAGCACTGTGACAAAGCAATTCCATGGAACAGAGCACTTCAAGAAGTAAATAATGACAGCAGTAAGGTGAGAGCTGATCACAGGACAGGGGCTGTGAAGGGCATCACCTAAGGGGTGACCAGCAATCTGTATCACACAACCCACCGCATGGCCAGCACTTACTTCCTATCGCTGTGCTAAGACCTGAAAGCAAGACTTTTCATTAATCCCTTAAAACAACTTGTAAGCCAGAGCTGAGGAAAAGTAACCAGCTATATTTCACCTGGTTTTCATATCTGCAACATCCTCACCAATCACAGCATGCTTGTTTTAGGGCTAAA